CATTTTTCAGCCCCAAAAAAGGCCAAATAAAAAGACATCATACTCGCCGAACTTAAAATAAAATAAAAAACACGAACGCCAAAAAAAACCTGACGAAAAAGAAAAAAACTACGCTAAAAAAATTAATCCATCTTCACCCATGGAGGGCTCTGCGCAGACTGAGCTCTGCAGGGCGGGGGAAGGTTTATAAAGCCTTGCTCCGCCCTGCAATTAGGCAAGAACACTCTGATTGGTTGGTTTAAGCCAATCAGAGTGATCTTTGTCATTTTACACAGCGTTGGAAGCATTTTCCCACTCTGTGTAAAATGACAAAGAGCACTCTGATTGGTGGGCTTGGAATCTAACCAATCACAGTGTTCTGTGTCATTTTACACAGCGTGGGAAAGTTCTTTGGATTGAGGAAAGGTAAGTTCGGCATGACAGTGCTGCTTTAATGACCAGTAAAAATAAATTGTCTGTTCACAAAGTAAACAGATGCTATTTTCAATTTTCTTTAAGTAGCATTTTATTATAGCTTGCTGTGTAACCGTTTGCATATGAAAACACTATTCTTCACCATCCTGATTTGGCATCTAGTTTGTAAAATTAATATCAACACAATAATCTTGTTACACTGACAAGCACATGTAGTTAAATGCCATACCAGGTGGTAGTAGTGTCAACACATATACTATGATCTAATTTCAACATTAAAGGACCAATATAGGCACCCAGACCACTTCAGCTCAATAAAGTGGTCCGGGTGCCAGGTCCATCTAGGGTTATCCCTGCAGCTGTAAACATAGCAGTTTCAGAGAAACTGCTATGTTTACACTAGGGTTAATCCGGCCTCTAGTGGCTGACTCATTAACAGCCGCTAGAGGCGTTTCCGCACTTCTCACTGTGATAATCACTGTGAGAAGACGCTGGCGTCCATAGGAAAGCATTGAAAAATGCTTTCCTATGGACTGTTTGAATGCGCACGCTGAGAGTTCCCCAGAAAGGTAACAGTTTAACCCCTTCAGCCCCCATCAGCCTGGTGAGAGAGGGACCCTGAGGATGGGGGGACCTAAAGACCCTATAGTGCCAGGAAAACAAGTTTGTTTTCCTGGCACCATAGTGGTCCTTTAAGATGCCGTATTGTGTAGCCTAATCTTGTTTAATTTTTATTTCCAACTAGAGGAGAATAAACAAAGGTAGGCATTCAAAAAATTCTCCAACTGTTTAGTATATAAATTTAGAAATAACACACAACCCTGTCAGGAAACTGAAACACTCATATACACATATGTTTTATGATCTATATATCAATGTAAAAGGCAGATTGTGTTTTCAAACACAACAATTTACAAGGATGACAACATCTTCATTATTTATTTTCCATTAATAATGGAAACCAAATTCCACTGTGAATATGTGTTGAAACTCCACAGCAAGTCACCTGCGTCAAATACAAAACCTGCGGGAAGAGAAACAGGCATCTGTTCCTCTACTACTGTCTCTCTGCCCTGGTACCTATCTCACCAAATGTCTTAGAATCAGAAGAACAATCCTGAATTTAGAGTTCTGTGCAGGCATTTACCCTGGTGTCCTGCACATGGGAACCCCATGGAATTGTTCCCAGTTAGTGCGGCCTAAGAACATCGTTACACATAATTTACTGAATAAACTCAGGTCAATCAGCCTTGACTGGGGCCAGCTGGAAAACCTTTAGTGGGCACGCAAGGAGATTGACCCCTTCTTGCTCACCCATCTCCCGTTCCTGGAATACTTACCTCCCAGGGTTGGGGGGCATGATAGCATCAGCTGGGTAAATGAGATGGGAGAAGATCAAGGAAGAGAGGTTATCTGCTAATGTCTCTATCCCCCTAGTAGGGAATTAAACTAGTACATGAGCTCTAAATTAAAGCTGCTCCTTTTCACCATAATATCCAACATCATCCTGGCAAATGCCATTCAAAAAGGATCTGTCACTGCCAGAAGTCACAGTTTTTCTTTCCTTCATAGTATCCTAGTAAATTCTACTCCATTGGGGTAAGTAGAAAACCTACAGGGATATTTACTACAGTGAAAATTCTAATTCAAAGACAAAACTGCCAAACTAGAAGCACAGATGCCTTTTGAAATTAGTTATTTTTAATGTCCCGACAATTCTTAAATTATTGAATAGCTCTGTTATGTTCCTCAGCTGAATTTCTGCATTACAGGGCCTTTGCTCCTCCATGATGCCAATCAGTGCTCTGCTCTCCCATGGGTATGGTAGCAACACTGAATATATATACCCACAGATAATGTTGCACAAGGGCAAGTTAGATTATATGCTTTCCTATGGACACACATAGCTCAAGATCATCCAGCGGTTTCATGAAGGCACCTGTGGAGGACTGCACATACTACAGAAAATCAGTGTTCACTACAACACTGCATATTACAAAATCACTATTTTTGGTCTGTGTATCAAAATATTGATAACGCCCGATGTGCATGCTCCTTTAAAACACATGAATGTTGTCTAGGTTACCGGAGTGTGCCTTAAAACGTATCTGCATTTAATTAGGCTACTGAATGTTGCTGCTCTGCATCAAAATCATAAAATATAGTGATTTACAGCATTAGTATTCATACTATGCTTACTCCATCAATAATGTGTATTAATATGGGGGAGGTGGTGGAGGGTATAGTTTAATTGTAAGGAAACAGCATCAGTAAGACAATATGTGTGAAGAAACCCCCCTGTTCCCTATGTTATTTACTGTTTGCATTCCCTTTGTACCCTCTATTTGCTGCCTATTGCATTCGGTAGATGAAACTACCGAACAAGGACCACCCTCTGGCTCATTAAACATCAAAGGTTTAGGTGAAATTGCTACCTCTGTCTGTGCGGCCAGCATTCGTTAGTCGAACACCATGTGACAGAGAAAACCGCGGCCATCTTTGTTAATGCGAGCAAAGGCAGCGGGACCTGGTCGTCGAGTGCATGGAACTGTTTTACGGACACTCAACTTCCCGAACACCGGTCCCAAACAGACGAATGCTGGAACTCTGTTTACCGAATAGCTAGAAGAGCGCTATTCGGTACTTTGGTGCATTCGACAGAGGGGCACGAATGCTGCTAGGAGCCAGAGGGATCCATTCGGTATTTTTATTCATTTTTATGTTTTTCGAAAGTGACCGGCAAAACCCACCAAATTCGTGGAAATGTTTTGGGCATGCAGCCCAGGGTGAGCTGGCCACACAAGACTTCCATGAAAACCCCTGAACCGATCTGGGTGAAATTTGAATATGCTGGTCACCCAGATCAGGGCTATCAGGGGACACATAATTTATGGGGATACCTCCAGTATAAAGGAGGGGTGTTCTGAAAGCTGGGGAAAAAGTGATTTTTCAGCCCGGAGATAATTAAGTTACTATTTTATCAGACTAAATTATCTCCTGGGCTAGGGGAGGGAATTGTAGGTGTGTGTTAACATTTTACTGTTTGTGATTGGTTATTGTTTGTCCCTACCTGAGGGCTGTCCCCTTGCATGGGGACTTGCATAAAAGCTGTGTGCACCCATTAAAGGACAGTTCATTTTGTACCCTTCTTCTTGACTTCGGCTGATGTTTGGGGATTCGTGTGTTTCACTGAGGGAATTATCTGGTGAGACTATTGGAATTGCTATAGGATTCGTCTACCCTAACTACCGAACGGAGGGCTATAATCACTAAGGCTCTGGCGGTTTGGGAGGAAACTACCAAATGAGGTTAAATATACTTGGTTTCCTTACAATATGCAATCCACAATGCAGGCTGGACCAGTTCACTATCAGCATCCATATGATTTTCTGATGATGCATTAGTAGAAATAGAACAACAAATATGTACTGATTCAGTGGCCAGATCGTGACAGACTAACTGTCATTAAAAGTGACATAAACCTATGAGTGATTAAAAGTTAAACTTATCTTAAGCTGTTTTACCATGCAACATCCGGAGACTCTGCCATGTACAGACCCTGGCACTGCAGCTAGTGTATTAATAAACAGATGCATCTCACCAACGGTTAACATGTAAAAAAAAAACTAAAACATCTAAAAAAAATAAAAATCTTATACATTCTTTAACCCCTTAAGGACACATGACATGTGTGACATGTCATGATTGCCTTTTATTCCAGAAGTTTTGTCCTTAAGGGTTTAAATATGAAATGGTAGATAATTTTTCTATTTCCCTAAGAATTATATATATATATATACATATATATATATATATATTATATTATATAATATACACATGTAGTTAAATGCCTTACCAGGTTGTAGATATAAAACACTGAGACTTTAACACAAGCCTCCATAATGAAACTCTCAGTATTTAACTATTTCAAAACAACTATACAACAAATGTTACCAAGACAGTCATAAGTCATCTTTCATGAATCATGATGGGGTTAAAAATAATAATATTTTAATGCGACAATGGGCACGTCATAACGTTGGGATTTCCTGTCTACTCCACGAGATGTAAAATTCACCAGTGGCATATTTATTTTATATCTTTACAGTTGTGTTTCTCTTTTATTTGCTATCCGATTTTCTTTTAGACTTGTTTTCTGCTTGGTTTTCAAAATATAAAAAAATCACAAACTTTTGATGCCTATAACTTGCAATGCATGGTATCCTCAGTATGTCATTTCTGGTAATGCTATCCATGCAATGTAAAGAATATTAAAAAAAAGAAACTAATTATAAGAGGGGTCTGTCAAACATTGAAGATTTTATGTAAACACTCAAAGAAACTCAAACAGAATCCTGGACTTTTCCCTCCATATAAAAAGTATATTTTTTTCAAGAAATTAAGTACTACAAGTGTTATGTATATTTAACACTTAATACAAACATAGGTTTATTTTGAAAACAAATTAAAAATATTATCATTAAAAAAAGAGTGCCCCAAATATTAACTTATAAATTATAAAATACATAAGATACGATCTACACTGTCTCCTAAAAATCCAGAAAGTACTTACAGTTCTAGCAGTGCTAAACTGCAGCTCTCACAGGGCAGAACAGCTTATTCCATTCCAAAAGACGTTCTTCAAGAGTATCCTTATCCCAGTCTGCAAAACAAAAATGTGATGCCTTTCTTACTAGAGAAAGAATAAAGCACATTTGTAGCAGATGTAAGCATTCAAAAAGGTCACTGAGGGCCACTCTCCAGGGACTTAAATCCTTACACTCGGGACACAGCATAGAATTTGGACTAAAGGGTGGGACACACCGAAAAGAATTCCCTTTTAACACTTTCACCTCTGGTCTGCCCCATCATACTATCATGTTTACTTCAAAGGCTTCTAAGATATCAGTTTCATGGCAAATACAAGACAACTTGTAAGCAACTGATGCCAAAATAATACATTATAGGCATAACATAATGTGTGAACTATTCACCTTACAACAATCTCTTTAAGCAAATAAAAAATAAAAAAAAAACAATCTTGTTGTTTGTGAACAGATGTTTTACACATGCATTTATCCAATAAAAAATTGAAAACCTCTAAAAATGTTGGACAAGAAGTTAAATTTTTTGACAAATTCTCCAACTCTGCTTGGTTATTTTGCCTAACTTTGTGATTTGGATCAGTTTACTACAATTTGGTGTTTTAGTGAACATTCTCAAATAGTACTTCACTGCTAACATTCTAACTAACCAATTGCCTGTGACTTTATACAAACATATAAATATTCTATAAAAAAAATTCTAATAGTCCCCATGGACAGTGTAAGCTATTTGCAAAAACCCCTCTAAACCTAAGCATCATATTCGTCAAACATACTTTCAATACTGTCATCTGTGCCTGGCTGCTCAGACTAGCAGCATTCCAGTACACAAGACAATCCATGCTTCCATTCATTAAAAGTCAAATGTTATGCTTAGATGAAAAGAGTTATTGGCCTTTAAAAAAACAACCTGCTTGCCTTGCAACCAAAGCTTCAGAATCAGAATAACTTTATCCAGATGGCCAAACGCAAGGGCTGTGTCTTACAATTCAATGGATGGTGTAGGGAGGTGGGGGGAGAAGGTGGGGGGTCAATGGTTTCTATGGAAAGAGGCATTCACAATTTTATAGTACTTGTCTCCAACGACATTCAACCTGGCTTCATAAATCAAACCACTATAAAGCATACAATATTTGTTACCCTAACATGCCCATTAGTAAAATTAAGTTGGGATCAGGAATACATATCACTATAAAATGTGTGCAATGCTCTCTAGATTTTAGATTCTTTTCAATTGTAAATTTGGTTGAACACAGCTAAATTAATCCACCCAAATTAAAATTTTGAACAAAAACCTTATAACAAAAGATTTTTGTTAGATCAATTTAGATCAATTGTTGTTTGTATTAAACCTATATGTTTGTGTTAGATTGTAAAGCACTGCAAAATATGTTGGCACTAAATAAATATTAGTATTATTGAATAAATAAGCTCATTGAGCAGGGGCCTCCACCTCTCTGTTCCTGTACATCCAGTTGTCTGGTTACAATTACATGTCTGTTAATTCACCCATTGTACAGCACTACGGAATCTGATGGCGCTATATAAATAATAATTATAAAAAAACAATATTTAGCTATATTGATAGCTATTTATTAGATCAGGTATCATGAACTATGAGTATTTAATAAAGGGGCTGATAGATCTAGATAAGGGGCATAGATCTTTGTTAAGGTATAATCAAGAATTTCACATAATAACAAATAAACTAGGTATTTTATAAGGGATGGGGACAAGACCCCACATGAAAGTTTTAGTTATAAAACTATTTAGGCTTACCTTGTTAGATCAGGTAGGATCAAGTGTTTTGTTTTTTTAAATTAGATATCATATAATTACAGAAATATTTCATGTTATTACTGGCATATACTGGAAGGGGTATAGCACCCCACATAACAATTTTAGACAAAAAATAATTCAGGCTTATATATCTTATATAGCTTATATTAGATCAGATAGATTACGTGTTTTTTTTTACATTAGATCTCTCAGAATTACAGAAATATTTTACACAATTACATAGACATGACCTAATTCATAAGGGGCTGGGGCCAGCCCCTCACATGAAAGATTTAGGCAAAAAAAGCACTCAAGCTAACAGATTGTTGTTAGAACATGTAAAGGCATTACATTCAGGGCAAAATTCTAAATGTTCTGGCGAATTCCCACCAGTTTTAATTCACCCAGTTTTAATTTACCTGTTTAATTCATCAATTGAGCAAATTAAAAATGGTGAATTCACACAGGCGAATTTTATTCCCGAAACAGGGCTTAAGAAAGAATAGACTTAACATATAGCATTACAATTGAAATACCATCAATGTTACTATGGTATATGGCAATAAACATTTTCATTGTAGCACACTGTTGTATAGTATCTTCTTATATAAATGTGCATTACATTCGCCCCCCCAAAAATATTATTAATAAAATTAATTATTTAAAAGTTTAACCAAAAAAACTAAATTTGCAGCTTGGATGTTGCCCCCAGAGATACAATGTCAGTATTTCACTCTTTTCTTTTTACTGGCAATAGATTTTATTTTTATTATGACAACAATTATCGGGTGGGATGCTGCACCTATTGATAATTCACCACTGAACTATCCAAAGGGTTACTATAGGCTCCAAACAATGCAAGTTTTAATGAAGCAGTTTTTAGATCATGCCCCTGCAACCTTTTTGCTCATTCTCAGGCCATTAAGAGAACAGAATATTCTAAATTAAAAACACTGTGCAATAAAGGAAGTTGAAATATTAGATCTCTCTTCACATGAAGTGCTTAGGAAGGTATAAATCACAGGCGAGGGCTGCACTAACAAAGTTTAACTCCTAATTGGCAAGGAATTGAGCTGTGCGATTGATCCATACACCAAAACTGCTTCATTAAGCTAAAGTTATTTTGGTGCCTATAATATCCCTTTAAAGGGAACACTCTAAGCAACAGAATCACTCAAGCATAATGTAGAGGTTTTGGTGTAGAGAGCCTGTTTTAGTCTGGTAAAGTATATTTTTCTGATAACTGACGTAATGTCGTATTTTTAGAGCAACAGGAACTTAATCTGAAGGAGGAAGGTTAATCATTTGCTTTTTTTTTTTTTTAAAGCAACTTAGACATTTAGTTAATAATAGGAACAGCTAGAAACTCTAATGTGTTAGGAATATGGAACATGGAACATTCCATATTGAAGAAGCCGTATTGGTGAAACACGTTTGTGGATATTTTATATGTGCATTTTATTGTATTAAAGATTGTTTTGGTCACTTCAACTTGTACCAATCATCTTTTTATATATACATTTTATACACACATTTTTATTTATTTTTTACCTGGCATTTTTATCACTTGGACTCCAAGCAATCCTCAGGTGGGGATCATACCACCGACGCTACCTCCAAGGAGCAGTTTGCCTGCTCCACTCTTGTGAGTACCTTTCTATCTTATTTTAATTATTTTATTCCAGTCAGTGAGCACTATTGGTTGTTCTTTTTATTCTCGTTTGAGTATACTACCCACTCGTGGATCAAGAATTCTGCACCATATCCTGTAAGAATTCTGCACCATATCCATACCGCTGCAAACCTGTTATAATAAGAGCAAGTCACAGCTCCACTTCATGTGAGTGTAATACCTTTCTTTACATTATATCCCGCCTTATATAGGACGTATTACACTATTTTGGTTTGTGTGTCTGCTTTTTTCGTTTCAAGCTATTGAATTATTTTGAAGAAAAACAGCAAGGATACTCCCTTCTGGACAAGCACTTTAAAAAAATTAGAACTTTACGGACTATTGGACTTAAAGAAGATTTTATTTCAGCTAAGACTTTATTTATATTTTTTATATATTCTGTTACTGTTTACTTTTATTTAAGCGCAGCCTTTTATTTGTTTTTTATCTCCATAACTGTTTATAGCCAAAAAACAAAAATGTGCCTGTTCTATCATGTACCTATATGTTTAACTACTGTTTTAATGCGCTGGAGGATTGCCTTTGGGGTACCTCACAAACAAGTGTTATAAATCCTACGCACAACAAAAATAAAGAATTTAAGAAAAAAAGAAAGAAAAATGAATAGTTACTTGTACCCAATAGCAGCTGTGAAACTTCAAATATATTTGTATGCTCCAACTCCTTTCTTTTAACAGAAAATAATGCAGATTCCATTTGCTGTGCCATACTCCCTGTACACAGTACGCAGTCATTCTTTTAAAAGATAATATACATGTTGCAAATCTATATCAGTACAGCTTGACGTTGGCAACAAAGATGAAGTAGGACAGATGTCAGGGGGTCTGGTGGTCTATTTATCTCACACAAAGCAAATTGTGCTGTTGAAGCCAGTAAACAAAATGTACTTAAATAATTATAGCAAATATGTTTAATGGTTAAAAAAAGAAGCAGATTTAGGAAACTTACCAACAAGTACTGTTATTTAGGACTGATTTATTCAGTATGCAATGTTGGCCTTCATCAAGGGCCTATCACCAATGGCCTATAATTGACAGCCGATTGCTCTCAGTCAATGAGGTAAGCCTTGTAGCAGGCTTGTAAATCTTAGGAGTGATTTATTAAAGCAGCACTGTCATGGCCACATTCAGGTTTTTTTTTTTAACCCTCCTCCCGACTACACTACCTCTAATTGCCCCCCTAGTCACACACAAATGCCCTAAACCCTCATATTATCTACTTTATAATCTTTATCTTGTGTATGGACCTAGGTCCTGAGCCGCCATCTTTGTGTGGGCAGATGAAGGCCCTGTGGGACACGTCATCTGCCCACACTAGATGTGCTGTGAAATTCCCGCGCATGCCCAGTTAAACACTGGGGAATTCGCTATTGTCCGAAATTCGGAAGTCAGAAAGATGAATGAATGAATATAAATGTCAGGCACACAAACAAACACTAAATGTCGGTGTTCGTTTGTTCATTCGTTAAGTTTATTACAAGGATGGAGGTAAAAATAGCGATTAGGGAAAGGTAAGTTCGGCATGACAGTGCCGCTTTAAATGAACACTAAAGAGTAAGCAATACAAGCCTGTAGTGTCCCATTCCCTAGTAAAATACAGCCCCTCCCCCCTCCCCCGTTTGTGATAAAAAGTTATAAAATAAAGAATTTGCATACCTTTTTCAAGGATTAGACTTCATCAGCAAAGCTTACCACTCCTCTTCCCACAAAATCATGGCATGGACTTCTCCATGATGATGCAATCCAATGTTCCTCATAGAGGAGCATGGGGACCTGATGCCCATGCAAGACAAGCACCAAGCGTGGATCCAAGTTTCCACATAAGAAAGAATGAAATCAATCAGTTTTACTTGGTCAGTGCTGTGGAAGTGCCTCGAGTGGCTGTCAGTAAGTAAAACTGCATGTTTTGTTTTATATTGCAGAGTTAAAATTAGATATGTAAATCATGTGGTCCAACTAATGTTACTAATATATAAAAAAACTTATTAGAAGTTATCCATTCATGGAATACTAAAATCGGCACGCCCCAAGAAAAGATACACACATCATGGCTAATGAAAGGCTAAAAGGCTTCTACTTTTGTCAAGCCCTTGTAATGGTACCAGTGTTCACCACCAGAGGGATTTCAGAAGGCAACAAGTGATACAACTAGTGATACAAAAAGATCTAAAGGAGTTTTTAAAAATACCAGTATTTATTGTAGAATATAAAAACAGGAGATAAGATAAAAAATAAATATTACCAATTCACAGTAATATATTTTACCATAAAGGTTCACTTCCACACAAACTTCATACACAAGTGGGGATTACGCACTTTAAGAGTATATGTTGGAGCTAAACCGTAGCTCATAAAAGTATAAATGCTCTTCTTTACATCTCACTGGTTCCATGACTATTAGTTCCTGTCTTTATTCCAATTTGTATAATTTCATACTCCTACATGCAAGGACATTAAAGGGACACTATAGTCACCAGAACAATTACAGCTTATTGCAGTGATGGCGAAGCTATGGCACGCATGCCACAGGTGGCATGCCGAGCCCTCTCTGTGGGCACGCTGCCATAGGTCGCCGGGGGGGGAATGGGGACACTTGCACCAGTCGGCAGCAATGCAAAACGGCAGGTGCCTACTCTGCTTTCGTATCGGGAGGCCACGGAGGCAGGGGAAGGGATCTGGGAAGCAGCACTCCTGTCCTCCCGTGAACAGGCTGTGTGGAGAGTTGGTGCACGTTACCACGGCAATGCTCGACACAGCATTCTGCGAACTTACCACCACTGGACCACCAGGGCTGGCTGTGTCCCTCCTCCTTCACCAAAGGGGGGATAAAGATTTTAATAATTCATTTTTTTATAATTTATAATTAAATTACAAAAACATATTTGCTACCTGTCACACCCCCCACACACACAGCACACCCCCTCCCACACACAGCAATCCCCCCACACACAGAACCCCTCCCCCCCACAAACACAGCACCCCTCACAAACACACACACAGACTGCTGCACACACACACGCTGCACCTGTACACACAAACACATACACTGCACCCCTAAATGCAGTATGTGTATGTATTCAGCAGTCTGTATGTATTCAGCAGTGTGTGTGTGTGTATTCAGTGGACTGTGTGTGTATTCAGCAGTCTGTGTGTGTGTGTTTGGTGGATGTATTCAGCAGACTGTGTGTATGCATTCAGCAGTCTGTCTGTGTGTACTGAGCAGTCTGTCTGTGTGTACTCAGCATTTTGTGTGTGTGTGTATTCAGCAGTCTTTCTGTATATGTATTTAGCAGTGTGTGTATTCAGCAGTCTGTATATATTCAGCAGTCAATGTGTATTTAGCAGTATGTGTGTGTGTATTCAGCAGTCGGTGTGTGAATGTGTTCAGCAGTCTCTGACTGTATTCAGCAGCCTGTGTGTATGTATTTTTTGTATGTATTGCATTTGTTGAAGATACTAATAAATATAAGCTTAATTTTATATCATTATTTATCATTTTTATCATTATACTCTCTGTTGTGTTCTTCTTTTAAAACAAAAGATGGTAATAAGTTCGGACAACTGTATGAGTTGTTTTTTCTAAACTTAAACCTCAGTATTCAGGTGTAACTGCCGTGTTGGCACTTTGAGGAAAAAAAGTTGGCATGCATTGCAGTTTGGGCATTAGAGCTCAAAAAGGTTCGCCATCACTGGCTTATTGCATTTGTTCTGGTGAGTACAATCATTCCCTTCAGGCTTTTTGCTGTAAGCACTGTTTTTAGAGAAAATGCAGTGTTTACATTACAGCCTAGTGATAACTCCATTAGCCACTCCTCAGATGGGTGCTAAAGCTGCTTCCTTGGACAGTGCTGCAGAGTAAGCAGCACTGTCATTCAGTGTCTCCACCCTCTGCATGCAGACACTGAACTTTCCTCAAAGAGATGCATTGAGATACTGATTGGCCAGGGCTGTGTTTGACTTTTGCTGTCTCTGCCTCTGATCTGCCTCCTTGACAGCCTCAGCCAATCCTATGAAGAAGCATTGTGATTGGCTCAGAACAACACTTCTGTTGATGTCAGCAGACACAGGCAGTTTTAGAGGCAGAGGGGCAGAGCCAGGAGCTGAAGACTTGAATACAAGTAATATTTTACTATATTTAGGGAGGTAAGATGGGGACAGGGGGGCAAGATGGGGTCAGGAATTCATGTTTGTCTTCCTGACCCTATAGTGTTCCTTTAAGGAAGTATACCGTTATTATCTGAAAACAGACCAGTTGTGTTGCTGGCTACCTTATTCCACCAGTGTACTCCCCAGAGTGTGAATATTTGTATTATTCAGCTTTAAAGGTTATATACTTATGCATGTTATATGGCTTTCACATTTCTGACAGCCCTGATCTAAGCACCATAACTAGTAAAGCTTGTTGCAGTGATTATGGTTCTATCAGGTCAATTTCTTTTAAAGCAGGTGGACAGAGGTTGCTAATTAACAGTGTCAATTAAATCGGTTCAGTGTGTCAGCTGATTTTTTCTAAGCCCATCAATGCCATTCAACTTGGTCAAGATTGACAATGCTAGCTTGACATCTAGCACTTGCACGTTTTTACTGTCCATAGGCATGCCTTAAATTCAAGCATTATCTCTTGATAAAATCAGCCTTTAATAAGACTATAAAATATCTATTCTATTTATGTATCCTAGTTGCAATTTTTGTTTTGTTTTTAAATATGCTAATTTGTACGGGAATCAGCATTTTCTAATCGCATCAAGTAAATGGGAAAGAAATATAATGTTATGAAATTGTGGGTGCATTTTTTTTTTTTTTTAAATTGTGATTGGTTTATAAGAAGCTAAAAGAATAAATGTGGCCTAAAAAAGGGAAGGATTAAACATGAACAAACATGGCTACTAGATTGCAGGTTTAGTACAGTAAAGATGTTGTGTTATAAGTCAAATCAGATCAAAGAGGAATATATCATGGCTGCTGATTTTTTATTTACTTTAATGTTTGTAATCCTGACAAAACTGGTCTACCCGTCCATAACAAATGATGTTCCCAAAGTCAGCGTTTTGTACCAGGGTAAATAGGCTGTACTTATGCAAAATAGTAAATAATGTGCAAACTGTGGAGATATTTGTCTGTCAGAACTGCTGCACATTTAACACATCTCAGAATTGCTTGATTTTTTATTTAATCATCAGAAAGGTGATATCATACCTCCAAACACTTTAAATGGACAGGGGCAGGGCTGTTCTGAGAAATTGTAGGTGACTTCATACTAATAATTTATTAAATTAAAATATAATACAGAAAAAGTGCAGTGTATCTTATTTACACAGACTGACTTCTAAACACATGTATTGTAGTTTAAAGACACATTGCTTTGAGTGTTTTTGCTGTGGATCTCCTTAAAACACTCACACAACATGGAGCTCCGAGAAAAGGACATTAGAATAGAAAAGATGGACAGAAGGAATTTGTTCCAAAATAGGGACTGTCCCTTCTAAACAGGTACACTTGGAAGGTGCAAAATATGTCATGTGGTACACATGATAATAGTGCCCAGTGGTATTAATTTTGGTATACTTGGAAAGATTAAATGCTGAGCAGAATTCTGATGGAAATATTGTTGACCCAAGACATGAACAATTACTGTAATGTGATGATGATAATAATGATAGTAATAATTATAGGGGCATGGCTAAAACCCTAGGAAGATGGCAGCAAAACCTTGAGGAACTGCACACGCAGCACCTCAAAGCACTTACCACTATCTACACTGGCCAAAATGGGCAAATACAGCAAGACCACAAGCAATGTAGCCAACCCGGCCATCTAAGCCACGCTTGACATTCTCCATCAAGTTCAATATTGAGACACAACAAGAAATGGCTTCCAAACACAAGCATGGTGTCGAGAATGTGACAGGTGATTACCACCAACTCTTGCTCACTCTGATAACTACATGGTTGGATGACACTGACAATTGGCGCCACAGAACCAACTTGCAAGTTAGCGGCCTGCTTGAATCAGAGGGTGTGGAGGATGTTTTCAATCACATGTTGGACCAACTGTTAGAAACCGCTATTGGATTGATATGGGCACACAGTCTATTGCAACAATGGCTTCCATTGGGGGCTCCCTGCGGAACGTTGTGTGCTCTATGACTGGCTATGCATATTAAAGCAAGCCTCCTACAGATTTTGTGCAGAAATCTGATAATCCATTTCCAAGACCATGATATACAATTATAGCAGATATACTCTGCTGGTCCACAGGATTCTGAGCCTGGTCACACTGGGACTCCATGAATCCAAAATACCATATCACAGTTTATATTCTCTGATCTTCATTATTCAGTAGGAGGCATCACTACCATACTATTAGATTCCCTATTTCAGGGTTTACCAGGGCCTTATCACCCTATGGCATACTTCACAAATCCTCCTTCGACAGTTGTTGGTTCCAGGAGGGATAGGCAACCTTTGGCCCTTCAGATGTTGCGGACTACATCCCCCATAATCCTCTTACACCCATAATGCTGGCAAAGCATCATGAGAGGTGTAGTCCAAAACATATTTAGTGCCGAAGGTTGCCTATGCCTGACCTAGGGCATCTTGACAAAGACAGCTCATGCTGAGAGAAAGTATCCATACAGTGGCCATCAGTGGGCCCAGAGGAGTAGCCTGCTGATTAGTCCTAGAGCGGTTACAGACACAGCATATTTCTACTTGAGAGCAGACCAAAACTTAGGGCTGTGAGTACACTCTCACAACACATAACAGAGACATGGCCAGCGATTGGACCTACATGGATTACCCATACTCAATTATTTTTTTACTCTTTTTAAAATAATTTTTTTGCATTTCCATCCCCTTTTTATTTTGTATATTTCTTACATGTTTTTTTCTTTTAGTGGCATATGCCACAACAATACAAAGGGCCAGGACCAGTAGTTAGGCTTTGACGTGGAGGCTGGAGCTCAGTGCAATGAGTGAGCTGGACAGCTCATCTTTTTATAGAGCATGGAGAACACACACATATGTACCATTTAACATAAATACACAAGAAATGGATCAGCGCTAGTATATCAGTAAATAGGCAGCAACCACAACAAAGGAAATCCCTCTCACCCTTTAAACAAAAACAGACGTGTACAAAGATAGATATGGGCTGCACCACAAAGAGTAATAGGATATAATCAATGACAGGAAGTCCAGTTATATAAAAGGAAACCTTTAGGTTCACACCAAATGGTATCTTTATGGTATATTCAACGAGCGATATGGATTCCTAAGGTTTGGAAATGGTATCCATAATCAGTCTCTCCGATATTCAATCATAAAAAAAGGAGAGAAGAAGAAAGAGAGGACCTAATAGTACAATATGTATCATAAAAAGGTTATGGTGACGTAATAATAATGCACACACAGTTTATAGAGCTATGGCCAGCTCTAGCATCTAGTGCTTGTAGTGGTACAATCCCCACTTCAGGATATAAAGAAAGGTATCCTCAATGTCAGGTTTAACTGGAGCTCAAAAGACAATAAAAGTAGGGAGGCAACAATAGTGTTCTCAATAGAGTAAAAACAATATGTAAAAAATATATAGAATATACTCACAAAACGTAGAGCAGGCTGACTGCTCTATAGTATCCGCTTTGGTGGTATGATCCCTACCTCAGATTTCTTTGGAGTGATGATAAAAAGCCAGGTAAAAAAAAAAAGAAGAAAATAACTTTGAAATAATTAAAAGGAAACTGGCACAAACCTAGGTATGTTTGTCCCAAAAGAATTCCTTTATTAAAGGTGCAGAGTAAAACATCCAATAAGGCGTTTCGTCGATGTGGCTTTTTCAAATGGGGTAAAAAACATACAACCTGGCTACATAAGGTTTAGATAGGGATATGGTTATTTAAAATTGGCGGCAAAAAAATCAATCATAGGCTGTCCTCCAATCAAATACAATCACTTTTTGTAAAGTGCAAATATAAGAATTATATATCATTTAATGGGAAATAAAATTATATAATTATATAATATAATATGTAAACAAAGTGTATTGAATGTAGTAGCAGCTTCTAAAGCCGGGACATGTGACCCGCATCATATGCGCGTGATATTATCGGCCGCTAAGCCTTCTGGGAGCTGTAGTTGTCAATATTGATGTATATCAGCAATGTATTCAACGAATCTCTATGAGGAAAGTTCAGTGTCTCCATGCAGAGGGTGGAGACACTGAATGTCCCAGGAAGCACTTCTAGTAGCCAAATGAGAAATGGCCAGTGCAGGTATCCCTAGGCTGTAATGTAAACACTGGATTTTCTCTGAAAAGACAGTGTTTACTGCAAAAAGCCTGAGGGGAATGATTACACTCACCAGAACAAAAGAAGAAGATGGATGTTGGTGCATATAAATATAATTTTCTTGCTAACACCCAAAATTATGGTGCAAGTGCTGGCTTCTTGATCCACTGGATATGAGCCCTTATAAGAGGAATATTAAAAGTTGGGGATGTTGGGGGGCCCTAAAGCTGAGCAGACCGCATATTAACAATAACATGTGGTATCACAACCAGCTATTTCTATTATCAGCACCCTGACAGTGGAGGCAGATCATGTTCCTTCCAACACTAAGTTGGTGGTCGGCTGCAGGTTAGGTTATGCTGGTGGGGCTCTCTTGCACATGGGTACATGAGAGGAAGCCTGGGGCCAGCATGATGAATCATGCCTCACTGTTTACCCATATGGATGTTTAGGATGGCAGACTCCAAACTCCCGTTTCTTTTCATTGGTCCTTCTGACTCATAGAACCTGGTTGGCTAGTTTGCTACTTATGCCCCACTCTTATGCTCTTATGCCCCACTATGGCACATGTGTGGCAAGCTATTGGACAGCATAAGTTATGGTCTACATTGTAATGCTTTGGAAAACTTCACTTTCATTCCCTGATTTTAGACAAGGTTTGTCTGAGAGAAACTAACTAGCTACACACAGCACACACATGTTGGTATTATTCTTGCATCTTCCCTATTTGGAGTGTATTCCAATGACCTTAAAGGGACACTATAGTCACCTGAACAACTTTATCTTAATGAAGCAGTTTTGGTGTATAGAACATGCCCCTGCAGCCTCACTGCTCAATCCATTTAGGAGTTAAATCCCTTTGTTTATGAACCCTAGTCACACCTCCCTGCATGTGACTTGCACAGCCTTCCATGAACACTTCCTGTAAAGAGAGCCCTATTTAGGCTTTCTTTATTGCAAGTTCTGTTTAATTAAGATTTTCTTATCCCCTGCTATGTTAATAGCTTGCTAGACCCTGCAAGAGCCTCCTGTATGTGATTAAAATTCAATTTAGAGATTGAGATACAATTATTTAAGGTAAATTACATCTGTTCGAAAGTGAAACCAGTTTTTTTTTCATGCAGGCTCTGTCAATCATAGCCAGGGGAGGTGTGGCTAGGGCTGCATAAACAGAAACAAAGTGATTTAACTCCTAAATGACAGTGAATTGAGCAGTGAAATTGCAGGGGAATGATCTATACACTAAAAATGCTTTATTTAGCTAAAGTAATTTAGGTGACTATAGTGTTCCTTTAATGAGAGTGGATGCTACACCCTCTCAGAATAAGTTTTTAGACAGTTCAAAAACTGCTCCCTATTTTGGTGAGTAGTCCCTTTTTGTAGACCCCTTTACATTTCCCCTGTTCCTTTTTAACCAAATGATTTTCCCCTCCTCTTACAATAACCATTTCTCTAACCTCTCGGGCCTAACACTTCCCATACTAGACTTTTCTTTCCTCCTCTCTACAATTACCTTTTTCTACTTCTTTGGTGACGGCTTGGGGTGGGAATCTGGAGCCAGGGCGGGAAAGTCTTGGTGATGTGTTCTACCTGAAATGTGGGGAGCAATGGAAAAAAGGATACTGAGGTTCGACAGAATATCACCAAAAGCACTATTGGGGGACACCTACTACACATTCACAAATATACTGCAGTTTCTTTAAGACAGTACAGAAAGGATTCTGCTCCCAGGAGGAAGGAAATTTTAATATACATATTCACTCCTTCAATGTTTCAAAGACACCCCTCCTCAACTTCTACACCACAACAGCTTGCCTTTGAAAACATATCAACCGGGTGGTGGGTCCTGACCACTGAGCATAGCAGATGCAAGTCACAGCTGCTCCTGCATTTAATGGGGAATTTAGTTGATTATCTGAAACTGGAGGGTATTATTCGACAAATCTTGGTCACCAAACAAGAGGGGACTTCACGGTGTTCACAAAGATGCCACTTAAGCCCTTAAGGACACATGACATGTGTGACATATCATGATTCCCTTTTATTCCAGAAGTTAAGGGGTTAAGCTGACCTTTCTAACGGAATAGTTTAATCACTTTTTGCAGCCTACTAGCATGTGCGGCACAAGGGAGACCAACGCTCTCCAGCCCCCACTACTGGCTGGTGCTTCAAGACATTCTCTCCCCTCAGGACCGTTGGGGGTAATCTCTGTCCTAGGAGACCAGCTCCATAATCTACTGTACCTGTACCGACAGAGGCACTCTACCACTAAAATGGCCGAGAAGATGTCCAGGCCCTCTGTGGCGATGCTGCTGAGGTCAACTAAGTAAAAGCTTAATGTCATTTTTGCAGCTTTACTGTCTCACATAACGGACAGACAGAGTGGTCTACCAACACCTCCAGCTACTGCTCATCTACCAAACAGCACTAGGTAGACCTCACTGGGGTACCCGCTCCTGAGGAAACAGGCCTATAGAGCTCTTTACTATGACACACCTCACTCGAAGTCTGTGTCCAAGCCTGCTTCCAAGTTGAAGATTGCAGAAGGGCGGAACATTGCAAGGGAATACAATCCTGCTGTATATTCACCCCTCTTCCTTTAAGATGGTGATGATATGTTGCTGATGTTAGGAGTATTTCATGGAGAAGCAATAGTGCACACTTTAGTGAGCACTTGTCTGATTTTGGCTCCGGGGATTTCCATGTATGGTTCCAGCAGTCCTGCATTTAGTATCGGCTAGTAGTCCCAGGCCGCATTGGAGGATTATATGCAATGGGGGTGCTGTGATTCAATATGTCCCATTTTAAGCCTGTTGAAATTGCTATCAGTGCATCTTCTATTTTGTCTTCAGTTCTATTCGCCTAGCACTGTGATAGTTTAATCTTATTTTTTTTTTAAATGTGCTGTTTCCTACATATACATTATTTGATGAATATGTCTCTTGCTAATGCTGACTTTTCTATTGTTGTGACGATGTCCTTGCTTTATAACTTTTCACATAAAAAATAAACAATGCGACAAACACTATGGTCCCCCTTGCATGAAAAAAATATATGACTCCTTCCTTGACTAATAGGATGCATGCTAAAGAGGAAATAAAGCGGTTTAAAGACCTGGCAGTGGACTAACCCTCAGTGAGAGAGAAGATGTTGCAGCAAAATGAGCACCCCAGCACGTCAAGAGTTGACAACCAGCAGCGGGAATTCTGCCCCAAGTAGATGGTCTGGCGGGATACTGACTGGTGGTTTCCTGGGCCGAGCCCTGGAACTCTACCATTGGTCGACTCTGGGTGTACAGCAGCATACCCAGCAAGTCCCAGTAAGTGGTAAAACTAAACATCAGTAGGGTAAAGGCTGTAGTCATTATGATGCTTAGACTAACTCTCAAAGAGGAATTTAGTCTCTGAAGCCTTTTTTAAAAATTGCCAGGTATACTCACTGTGCTCTCTATCTTTTTTTTTTTTGTGTTCACTTTCTGGATTACAACTCTGAATATGTTTCAGTACAAATAAATACAACATTACAACCAGCTGCAGCAAATTAATCTTCAGTGACTAGGCTATATGAGCACACGCTGTGATGACTTTGTGATCTGTAAATTACATTTCTTTTAATTTCACCTAGCACTTTACTCAGACATCACCATGTTAGACTCACAGCTTTTGCATGTAGAAGTATTACCCGTTAGTGTAACCTAAATATAATTTACTGGTGCAGGAAGTGGAAGATCTTCCTACTGGAACAAATCATTATGGAGTACAGTTTGTGTTGCCACTCTGAGGTCATATGACATTTACAACAAAACAGTATATATGCAGTAAAGGCTTATTGTGCTTTGGTTTCCATAGATAGAATTCAGGTCACCAAAATAACGGTTTACACTACAGTTCTGTGCCAAAGGGTGGAGGCTTGTGGATGATTAAATAAATTCATATATTCTACAGTAGGAAAATGTCTGGGGGGAAAAAAATATTTCTTTCCTGTCACTGAGCTTCCGACTGAAGACAACCTCTCCCTGTTTGTAATACATGCCATGTGTTATTTCTAACTATTCTAATACAACAGGCAATGAGCAGCATAATTCAAAGAGCACATTTAAAGCAGCTAAAAAAAAGTCCTAGGTTTTATTTAATCTGAGTACTAAAAGCCAAGTCTGGGATAAAATAAATCTTTGGGTACAAAAATTCTATATTTTTTGAGGAAAATATTAATGTAATGTGATACCTGTTGCTCTTTGTAAGGCCAATCTTTAGTTTCACATCATGTATAGTGTATCATATTATACTTGTTTGTAGCATAATTTATTATACACCAATGTAACAAATTATGCAACACAGTCTTCTACATTTGCACATCCCTACATTATAATGAAGACTGCAATATTTACCTTGTAGGTTTATCTGCACCTCTAGTGGCTGTCTGCCAGACAGCCACCAGAGGCACTTCTAGGTGGTTAGGCGAGTTTTGGTTGCTTAACTGATCCTGCACATTCTAACACTCTGCATGAGGACATCCAGCATCATCTAAAAACCCCATAGGAATGCATTAAGCAATGCTTTCCTCTGGGGTAGTCCTAATGTGCGCTGTGCATGCGCATTAGGTCCCCTGTGCCGGCCGCCGTTGGCGGAGCCTGACCTAGCACCAAGGGACATCGGCGCTGAATTAAGGCAAGTGACAGAAGGGGTTTTAACCCTTGCAGCACCAAAGGGTAGAGGTATGGGGGGGACACTGAAGGTAGAGCTAGGAAAACAACTATGTGTTATTAGCAGTATAGTTTCCTTGCACATGCACACAGGCACAACTGTCCACTTGCACAAATACATAACCTGCTACTCACCCCAACCTAATGCTAACACAGTCACAATAGCATGATCTATAAGACGCACCTGACCATAAGACGCACCTAGTTTTTAGAGTAGGAAAACAAGTAGAAAAAAAGTGGTCCTTACCACCCCTTCCCCTGTCCCATAGTGTTCCTTATAGTGTTCCTTACCACCCACTCCCCTCCCCTGTCCCATAGTGTTCCTTACCACCCACTCCCCTCAGGGAAGGCCTTAGGCCTTTAGGTACCCTGTGCGAAAAATATTTACAGCGCCTTTCCATGGTCACATGCCCTCGTCCATCTTGATTATGTAGTGTGTGTGTGTGTGTTTGTGTGGATTATGTAGTGTGTGTGTGAGTAGATTATGTAGTGTGTGTATAGGGCATGTTGTGTGTGAGTAGATTGTGTAGTGTGTGTTATGGAGTGTGTGTAGGTAACACAGTAAGGGTGGGATAGTGATGATTTGTGGGTAGGAGGGGGAACATAAGGCTTTAAATGAGGAGGTGGGAGAGCAATTTCATGTTTTGTTTTCTTAAATTAATTCATGTTGATTCCCCCCTTCAGCCTCCCTCCCTCTTGCACAACTTTAAGCAGGGATGGGGGAATACTTTTGACCTGGTGGTCCAGCGGTCTCTGCCAGCGCTTGAAGTTGTGCACCTTGCAGAACTGGAGCCCTCCTCTCGTGAGCTCTCAGTTGATAGTATGAGAGCGTTGCCAAGAAAAAAAATGAATGGCTGTGTCTCAAATGTGCCCCATCAACATCCACATATACCTGTCAAAGGTACATACTGGGTATTGTTGTACTCAGGTGACATAGCTGAGCAACATATGAAGTATTTTACAACCATAGTACACATAAGGTTTGCAAAATATACTGTGCAAACTCACAGGCAGAAAAATGCTTATTACCACTACACTTGGTACAAGCTAGCGAAAAAAATGATTCCACGCTAAGGTTCAAAATATGCCTTTTAAATTACCCTAGGATCTCTCCTTTAAGAAATGGTATGCCTTTATAGGATAGTTAGAATACATAGCCTGCTAAAATACTCCAAAATAGGACCTGGACACAGCGTAAAAATTCAAAGATTGAAAAAAAAACCTGAATGGCTGTGTCTCAAATGTGCCCCTTCAATGTCCACATATACCTAGCAAAGGTACATATGGGGGTATTGCAAAATATACAGTTTTCACATTGTGTGTCAAAAAGGCAGAAAAATGCTTATTACCACTACACTTGGTACAAGCTATTGGAAAACATGATCCCACGCTAAGGTAAAAAATATGCCTTTTAAAATACCCTAGGATCTCTTCTTTAAAGGACCACTCTAGGCACCCAGACCACTTCAGCTTAATAAAGTGGTCTGGGTGCCTGGTCCTTCTAGGGTTAACCCATTTTTTTTATAAACATAGCAGTTTCAGAGAAACTGCTATGTTTATGAATGGGTTAAGCCTTCCCCCAATTCCTCTAGTGGCTGTCTCATTGACAGCCGCTAGATGCGCTTGCGTGCTTCTCACTGTGAAAATCACCTTTAAGAAATGGTATGCCTTTATAGGATAGAGAAACTGCTATGTTTATGAATGGGTTAAGCCTTCCCCCAATTCCTCTAGTGGCTGTCTCATTGACAGCCGCTAGATGCGCTTGCATGCTTCTCACTGTGAAAATCTCCTTTAAGAAATGGTATGCCTTTATAGGATAGTTAGAATACATAGCCTGCTAAAATACTCCAAAATAGGACCTGGACACAGCGTAAAATTCAAAGATTGAAAAAAAAACCTGAATGGCTGTGTCTCAAATGTGCCCCTTCAATGTCCACATATACCTAGCAAAGGTACATATGGGGGTATTGCAAAATATACAGTGAAAACTCACATTGTGTGTCAAAAAGGCAGAAAAATGCTTATTACCACTACACTTGGTACTAGTCACACAGTGAGAGCACGCAAGCGTCCATAGGAAAGCATTGATAATGCTTTCCTATGTGACCGGCTGAATGCGCGCGCAGCTCATGCCGCACGTGCGCATTCAGCCGCATGGGAGGAGAAGAGGAGGATCGGAGGAGGAGAGCTCCCCGCCCAGCGCTGGAGAAACGTACGTTTTTACGTCTTTCCCCCTTCCAGAGCCGGGCGGGAGGGGGACCCTGAGGGTGGGGGAACCTCAGGGCACTATAGTGCCAGGAAAACGAGTATGTTTTCCTGGCACTATAGTGGTCCTTTAAGAAATGGTATGCCTTTATAGGATAGTTGGAATATATAGCCTGCTAAAATACTCCAAAATAGGAGCTGGACACAGCGTAAAAATTCAAAGATTGAAAAAAAACCTGACTGGATGTGTCTCAAATGTCTCAAACACTTGGTACAAGCTAGCTGAAAAGTGATTCCACGCTAAGGTTCAAAATATGCCTTTTGAAATACCCTGGGATGTCTTCTTTAAGAAGATTGTTATAATCAGCCGATGTAGCTGAATACCATATGGGGTTCTGTGCAGGAATAGCACACACCAGCTTACGAAATACACATTACAAAAACCTTGTTATATGTGTATATGCCAAAATAGAGAATAACCTTATGTAAATAGCATGTGATGTCTACTTTATATAAATATATACGTTTGTGTGGCAATTTTGTTTTCTGTGATGGCTACTAAACCTACAAGACAAACATACCAACTTCTAAAATTGTTTCACATTGAAATTTTATTTTAGTCCTTTTGTTTTGTGACCTGTAACTTTCAAACTAAGCTGAAATCCTATGCATATTATGTACTCTATAAATCAAGACACATAAATGAATTTATTTTTAATTACTTTTTCTATGCTATATTATTTTTTTCCCATTTTTTGGCATTTCTTCTATAATTAATGAGAATTTATCTATGTATATGTGACGTCAAATGAATGCCCTTTTTGCCCTCTAAAAATAACAGAGATGTAAATTGCATTTGAACACAAACAGCAGAAAATGCAAAAATGGTTTGTGTCCTTAAGGGTAAGTCCAGTTTTTGAAGCTGCATCCTTAAGGGGTTAAATGGCAGAGAACTGAGCAGGGAAACCTCAGAGGCACAATCTATACACAAAAACTGCTTTGTAAAGATAAAAATTTTTAGTGACTATAGTGTCCCTTAAGTGTGCAATGAGGCTCTGTGATTAGGAATTGAAAGTACAATTAAAATATATAACTATGTGGAATTTAAATAAAAACAATAAGATAAACAACGATAACCATGTGTTAAGACCAACCCAATAAAACTTTAACCGGTATTTTGTAAACAATAATAAAAAAATAAAAAATATATATATATCTACATTTGTAAATCAAATCCTTATTTTGGGAAGAGCATTAATACTACATACCTAAATGCCGTATCAAAAGTATCTCAACCTGGTTTAATTGCATTCCAATAAGAACATAATAGGCATTATGTTCTAAATGATCCACAAAAGATGGATAAAGGAAATAAAAATTCTTCTTCTTATTATTATTATTATTATTATTTTATTATTTATATAGCACCAACAAATTCCGTAGCGCTGTACAATGGGTGGACTAACAGACACATAATTGAGATCAGACCACTGACGTACAGGAACAGAGGGGGTTGAGGGCCCTGCTCGATGAGCTTACATGCTAGAGGGAGTGGGGTATATCTCATTGTTTAGGTAGAGAAAGGTTTTGGAAACTCAGCTCTATAACGCATAGCTGCTTTATTTAACTCCTAGTAGTTGGGATAAAATCTTTGTTGAAAAGGAGCAAAAGAAAACCAAATGTTTAGCATGAGATCATGTCTATTTGAGTGCTTCCAACTTGTAGGAATGTGGCAGTAACAGCAAATACTACTTCTGCCTGATAAGTTACAGGCAACCTTCCATATAAGGTGAAAAACTTGCAAAGGCTGCGCTGGAAACACTGTCAAAGACGCTTGTTCATCATAAATAATGCAGATCACATTTTGGAAGTCTACCAGTTATACATGTTATGCTATACACAATAATGTCTCCCCTCCTCTTCCCCCCACCACCTATATCTGGTGTTTTATTAAAAGATAAAAAATATAGTCCTATTGGGTTTTACTCTGATTACTGAATAGCAATAAGTCCATTGACATTTAAGGGACAATTGTTATTCAGTAAACAGAGTACCCTTTCTCTAAAAATAATCCAGCCCTCTATGTTGATACATTGCATTAGAAAATGGTGTTTAGTTAATTAAAGGCTGGTACATATAAACATATAACATATAAAAGGCCTAAAGAAGGCCAAAACAATCGTCTGGGGTTGCTGTATCTCTCGTGCAAGGAGAACTTGCAGCCATTTCAGTTCGGGACTGCCCTTACGGGTTAGATCAGTCTGATATGCTTTGGGATATATTCTCTCTGTAATGGCACAAGTGAGCAAAAGTTATTTTTGAGACCTGAGCGGGTATTTACCGAAGGGCAAGTTACTGATTTTCTCTAAGCTTTTGAGTTCTCATATTCTTTGTTTTTTGTTACATATAAATATAATACCAGGAATACCATGTCAAACTCTGTCCTCAATAACAAAAATTCTTCCACAGTGTGAAATTATTTATAAGCATGTAAAGACAGAATCAACTGTTTTTATTATTAAACACTAAGCCTAAAACTACCCTGAATATAAAATTTTGGTAAACCCTGAGGAGTTCTATCATTTACCAGGAAACAGTAGAATTTTTATAGGATGAAGATTTAAAGGACCACTATAGGCACCCAGACCACTTCAGCTCAATGAAGTGGTCTGGGTGCTAGGTCCCTCTAGTTTTAACCCTGCTGCTGAAAACATAGCAGTTTCTGAGATACTGCTATGTTTCACTGAGGGTTAATAGAGCCTCTAGTGGCTGTCTCACTGATGAAAATCACAGTGAGAAGACTCACTGAGTAATGCTTTCCTATGGGGAGTTTCCTATGGGTGGTTTGAGAATGCACATACGACTTTGCCGCACATGCGCATTCGGATCTGACATCGGCAGGGGGTGGAGAGTTCCCCAGCACAGAGGAAGCCCGGCGCTGGAGAAAAGTAAGTGGCTGAAGGGGGGTTTAACCCCTTCAGCCCAGCAGGAGGGGGGCCCTGAGGGAGAGAGGGACCTAATGACCCTATAGTGCCATGAAAACAAGTTTGTTTTCATGGCACTATAGTGCTCCTTTAAAGATAATTGTAAGTATCAAAGAAAAATTATTCAACCCCTTCATGGTAAGCATATATAGAACACCCTTTTGCTGTTATGAACTGCAGCAAATGAGATGCATAGCCAGGAGAATTTTAGCCCATTGCTCATGAGGATTGGCCTCCAGTTCAGTAATATTCTTGAGTTTGTTTCCTGCAATTGTCTTCTTCAAATCCCACCAAATATTTATGGGATTCAAGTCAGATGACTGTGATAGCCACTGTAAAATTTTCCAGGACTTCGTCAGCAACCAAGCCTTGGTGGAATTTGAGGTATGCTTGGGATCATTCTCTTGTTGAAAGGGCCAATGATGCCCAAGCTTCAGCTTCCTCACAGACAGCATGATGGTTTCTAGTGCCCAAGGATGCAAAGCAGCCCCAGAGCATCAGCAAGCCACCACCATGTTTAACTGTAGGCAGTGTTCTTTTCAGCGTTTGCTTTATTCTTCATCCTCTAGACATACCGCTGATCCATTGAGCCAAAAAGTTACAGTTTTGTTTCATCGCTCTACAGAAAAGAATCCCCAAACTTCTGTGACTTATTTTTATGAATCTGAGCATACTGGAGCCAACTTTTCGGGTGAGTAGTGGTGTACGTCTTGGAGTTTTGGCATGGAAACCTTCTGCGTTTAGTACGCGCCTTACTGTGCACACTGAAACCACAGTTCCTGTTGCCACCAAGTCTTGCTGCAGGTCTTTTGCAGTCATTTTCACAAACTGCCTTCTCATTAATCTGGTTGCAGCCATAAACAGATTTCTATCTGCCCTCTTCGTAGTGTAGCCACTATTCCTTCAACTCTGAACTTGCAAACTATGCTTCCAACAGTGTGTCTAGGAACAACTTTTTGTATTCTGTTGCTTGTTTGTGGACCATTCTTTTGACTTAGCCATAATTCTAACATGCAGTCAAATGTGACATTCAACAAGCCCTAAAGTCTTTGATTAGTTGCATCAGGTCTGCTTGAGACAACACCTGTTTTGCATATTTGTGCAGTCGTGAGGGATTCTATTCAGAGGGTTGAATAATTTTGAGACTGAAGAAGTCATTATAAGTTGGATTTTCAGTTGAATTTGGGGAAACCATTTGAAGCATGTGTTGTGTTGAACTATTTTAATTGTTTTTGTTTGATTTGTTCATTGCAAACAGCTGAAAGTCAAAGTTGTGACAGTAAAACTGGTTTTCAATGGGGGTAAATAATTTTGATTACAACTGTAATTTCAGCAGCTTTGTCAAATTGTATTTTAATTGATTGTGCTCAAACTTTTGCCTGGACACACACACCTAAAAATAAAATATAAATATGTACATTTACACAAAGTCACAGGCTCACAGATAGAACAGATGCACATTTCACGTGGTATGACAGAGAGATTGACATTTTTTACACCTACTCCTTACCTGTCTTTTTGCTTTTTACTTATGCATACAAATCAAACTATCCTTATTTTCTTGTAATCCATGTCTTTTGAGAATACAACTATATTTGTGATTCAAGTTTAGCAGAATCTTTCATCAACAATCACCAGATTTATATTTAATTGTACAGGAGAGGCAATAACTTTGCCCTACCATAACTGTCAGACTTCTGATTGTATACATTTATATACTGAGTTTCTCTGCAGTCTTTGCAATCCAATAGTGAATATCCCAATGCAGAGTCTAAATGAGCCTTTTAGTAGTAGCAAACCATAAACACTTCAGCTCACCATAGTGATTATGGAGCCAGTAGAGTCCTGTCCCTCTGCCCCTTCCCCCCACTGTTCGTAGTTAAACCATTTTAGACCATATTCCTACCTGGGTATCATTGTGCATCATCCCTCGCCTACACTACATGTTTATACATTGTTGGTGCTCGTGCACAATCCTTGGGCTCTTTAGAGGGAGCACAACAAGCACTTTCAGATCCAGGTTGGCTCTGTCACCGTGGCGTAATTAGCACAAGTGACACTTGGAGACATTGTAGGGACTGAAGCACCTGTGCAATCAGTGAAAAAAACAGTAAATGATTAAGCCCCGATCCTGGGTTAATCCTGCTAGAAATGACGAGTCTGTCTATTTAGCCACAAGGTGAAGAGATCCAGACTGAGTGAGCCCCGGAGCTCCATCAAAAGGAAAAACTCTCTACAATATTACACACACTATAAACACATTATTGCTACATACACATCATACACTACTATGCAAAACTGCTAAATAAACTCATACATTTCTATGTATAACCTGCTATACACAATGATATATATATACATATATATATACAAAAAACTTTAAAAATTAATTCCTGCACTCACGCTGAATTTCCCTTCACAACCGGGTGCCAACCATATATGGCCAAAAGATATACAAAATATATAAATTAATGGTTGCACTCACGGTTTTTCCAAGTAAAAGTCCAAAGTTTATTGTTAATTCATAAAAACTGCGATCAACGTTTCAGTCCCACCAAGAGGACTTTCATCAGGATCATGTGATCATGTGATCCTGATGAAAGTCCTCTTGGTGGGACTGAAACGTTGATCGCAGTTTTTATGAATTAACAATAAACTTTGGACTTTTACTTGGAAAAACCGTGAGTGCAACCATTAATTTATATATTTTGTACATATATATACACGGTAGTACACACACACATACATAGTATTAACACACAGTTTTGTAGTTGGAGGTTGGCTTTCTTGTGGTCTACTGAGAATCAGACAGATATAAGGCAGCGGGCCACTGGCTCCTATTCTAAGCTTCTGTGAGGCTTCCAGAGCAGTGAGAGGAAGGGATTAGAAATCTCTTCCTCCTACAGCTGCTGCACGGGAGCAAAGAAAGGGACGTTACTGCGGTCCATTAAAGGACGTGGCCTGCTTACGTATCACAAGTGATGTGACTTTTGTGGGGTTCTGAAGTATTTAAATGTATTTTTGGGGTGTTTTCAAATATTTTAGATTTTTCTGTACCTGAGAGATAATTGAGTTATAATTTTTTCCTCATGCAATTAATTATCTCTCAGGCACAGAGGATTTTGGGAGGAAAAGCCCTGTATTTTTGTATAGGAGATCTGTGCATAAAAGCCGTCTGTGACCAGAATAAAATCAGTTGACTCCCAGAACTGTGTGTCGTCCAGTTACTGGGGGAGGGGCTATATCTACTAACCAGCACTTCCCTTTGAGGTCCAGAGGATTACAGCGGAGGTATTCAGTCTCAGCATTGCAGCTCTGCTGTTAAAGGCAATTCAATGAAGAGCAAATAACAACTACTCTGACCTGTAGACAGGAGCAGCAAAGAAAGAGGAAGTGATCTTATAGGCACTGCTTATATACCCTTTCTGTTGTTTTCTGATTGGCTCATTTTTAATTTTTTGCTGCTGTTTGGAGATCTGTAAAGTGAGATAAGCAAAATATGAAGCCTCCAGTGAAATTGTCCATCCATTTAAAAACCTCTCTGCTAATTTTGACGTCTCAGCAAACTCATTGAATATCCCCAAACCCACATTTACAATCTCACCCTGTTAATCTATAGGGAAAAGTGACAGAAAATAGTTGGCAAACAAATCATTGTAAACTAAGAGCAAAACAGAGGTTATGATGGCTCCATTTCAATAGTTTCAAACCCTTGTAAAGAATTTGAAGTTTGCAAAACAACCACTTAATTGCCATATTTTCCACTATAAGATATGTTGGAAATATTTTTCCCAGTGTTTCCTAATCCAATGTAATTAAACAGCAAAAATTGGCATTTTGCTATATATACGTTCAGAGCCACATTGTCATAAGAGTTGAACCGACTTGCAACCTTCATAGGTATCCCTATGGCAGTGCAAATGTTGGTCAATATAAACAAAAATAGTAGACGTGATATCTTTTTTGGAACAATGTGCTGCATAAAATCAAGCTTAAAGCCACAAGAAATAATTATAGATTCCCTTTAAACTATCGTTTAAGCATTTCATTGAACATTCATGAGTTTGAGGGTAAAAGAACTAAAACATTCAAGGTCCTTTGTCACTTTCTGACTGCTTATCCTGCTGTTAGCACTCCATCTGGAACTGGATAAGCTGGGAGGTAGGGGGTCATTGAAATGATGATCACAAGGCATAATGGAATCACCTAGCAATACCCAAGTTATTAGGTCTGCTTGTGATTATTAGTGCAATGGCACACTACCAGCAGGACATATCCACACGGCATGCCATTCCTTACTTATTTCTGCTTATTGTTATTTAGGGGGTAATCAAAAAGAGCACAGTGGGACAGAGAGCAAGTGTACATGTACGTTTTTATTAAATTTCTTTATTAAAAAATTGCGTATATTTTTAACACCATGTCACAAAAACGTAGCATTCATATTTTATACTGCGCACTCATGTATTCGCCCCATCATTACAATTTTATGAAATACATATAGCAGGAAAACAATCAGACCACCATAGGGATAGCTATTTAGGCCTATATATTCATAAGACCATGGTAGCTACCTCAGGATAGAGTCAATAGATTGATGCAGTAAGACATGGTGAGACATAATATGACAGTGATTTCTGAACATGTCATGTGAGCCTATACATAGCTGGGAACTACACAGGTTTCATCTAGAGATATGCTGGTTTCAATCTGGTCTAAATTATCGTTGCTATACTTCCTGCTACCATTTAGTGATTCACGTGCCTATAAATGTGTGATTACCTACAGCAAGATCTGTGCAAGCATGCCAAAGAGACCTAAGAGCTGCGTTTAAGTAACATTTCTAATTACAATTTATATATTACATATGCACATATTTCATGGTGTGTGTATATATATATATATATAGAAGATAGATAAAGAGAAAAGAAAATAGGCAGAGCAAGGATGAAAGACTATAGAGAACATTTTTGTTTTGAAATATGTCTCATAAATAATTATGAACCATTTTTTAAAAAAGTTAATACAAAAATAAACAGTAAAAAAAATTATATAAAGGAACACAAATCATCAAAAAGTGATTAAACGTGACCGATAAAAAAAAGAAGAGGGAATTACCAAAGTAGGCAATTACACGCTCCCTTTCTAATTTACATATCAAACAAAGACAATTAGCCGTACAAAATTACTACACTTACCATTAAGCTGCATTGTACATTATTATACCGTTTGTATTTTTATTATTAATTTTATTTTTGCACGTAGGGTAGAGGAAAGGACAATAAAAATGATATATATTGTATAACATGAATTGCTTTATTAAACATATTTCATATACATGACTTTATTACTGTATTATTTGTAAGAACAAGTCAAGATTAAAATCTTATAAAATTAAATGAAGAACAGTCTGGGTTTATACTCTATAAAACACTCTTGAGTCCTGCCTCTTGTACTATTATTTCAAAGTATCATGGGAGAACAGTTAAAAGTAACTCAAAAATGAAGACTAGGCTAACAAAGCCTGAAGACATAAGGTATATTTGGAAGATATCAGGTGGGGACAGTTCTGGTCCAAATCAAGAGGAGAAACAATAAACTAGCCAGGTTTCAATGAGCATCGCACAGAACAAGCACTTACCGTGAAGATGCAATACATACTGTATAGTCTAAAACAGACATAATTTATAGTTCTGAAGTAACTGCTCCTGACGACTGTGTGCTGACACGCCGAAACGTGTGTCGAACCAGGTACTGGTTTACCTGTTTTTTTGTACATATACCAGTTGTCCTTATACTCCAGCTGATTTTTTGACTAGTTATATGTCTCTGCTGTAGGACCCCGGTGCTATTAGATTTCCTGGGTAGTACTTTTCTCTCCCTTTTTACTGTTTTTATCTTACTTTGTAGTCCTTAGGATAAATAAAGGCAGGGCCCATTTCTTATTATCTTTTTTGTCACTCTCCCACCTTGGACTTTTTTCCTAAGTCCTAAGTTCTTTCTCTAGTTCTGAAGTAAACTGACATTTTTGTCTATAGGTGACCCGCATTACTCATGGCCCAGCTGGTGTTTGATTGTGCCATCTAGAGACATTTCTTTGGCAATTAAACTCCACATAAGCAGATAATGAAACAGTCATAACACCACTCAAATGTATAACTCCCAAGTGTCTCTACTTAGGAAGCATAGTCCTTATTATGGGCCTATATCCCTCTGTCCCTCTTTTCTCCCCTAATGTCCCTCATTTCTTGGAACTCCATATAGTTTGTTTGTCTGAGTTTATAACACAGCAATAATACTTCCAAGTAAGGTTTCTTTAAATTACAATACATGTGTTTAGAAACCAGGCTGTGTAAATATGAATATTGTTCTTGTTACAAATGATATTCTAGTTGCATAAATTGTTATTAGTAAATCACCTAAAATTTCTCAGAGCAGTAGCCTTCCCATGGCCACATTCCCCACCACACCCTTAAAATGAAGGTGTCCCTCTTTGTCCATTTGAAATGTTGGTATGAATGCGAATTACATCCTATACCGGTTGTTAATACATGCTAAAAACTGAAGGTGGATGTTATTATTTACCCATACTGTACCAAAAGCAAACTTTGCAAATGAAAAGGAGAAATAGAGACATTGTTTTATTTCTCTGTATTTTTTCTCTAAACGGACTCTACAAGGACATAAATTATAACCCCATTGTACAGCACTACGGAATTTGCTGGCGCTATATAAATAATAAAATAATAATAATAATAATAATAACAATGATTGACAGAGAGCTAAGATAGAGGCACCCAATTGCATTTTGACGATGTGTGGATATATACATTTCATTTTATTTTTCACAGTTCAAGAATACATGTTTCAATATGCTGAAAGCAAACATATTATAAAACCTGGGAAGTGACAGTTTCCCTTTAGGGGAAAACAGTAATACTACACCCACACAAGAGGTAGACTGATCATTAACATATCCATAATTCAGTGAAAACAGTTTTAGAAAATTATGTGTTCATTTTTCCTTCCCGAAGTTTGATGAGCTATTTTAAGAGCATTCCTATAAACTACCCCTGAAGACGTCAGCTATGCAGCAGGACACATTTCTTAAAAATAATTTCGAGCATACTTTCGGCTATAATTTTAGTTTTAAAAGACGTCAACAGCTCTGATGCTCCTCACTAACCCCCAATTATGAAGAGGACATTTAATTTTTTTCAGGCACGTTGAGATCAGGATTTTCTTAATGTGTCTCATATAATTGCACCACAGCCTGTTTGTATGGATTAATACAAATAAATAACAGTGAAAGAGAATATGCGAACCTTGGAAAAAATAATCTGTGGTTGTCAAGGTGACGGATCATTCAGGAACTGAAGGTCTCATTTCTATAAGCATTATTTGTGTTCAAGGAAAAGAGAAAAATTAGATGCGTTGAATACAGAACAGAGTTTTGTCAGACATAGATGTTTACACAGAAAAGTTAGAATTTATTCAGTAAATGGAGAGTTGTGGAGATATTTTTTTTATTTTAACAAGCGAGTTGATACATTCATTGAAAACCTTTAAAATTCATCTTAAGGAGTTACCCCAAGCACAATTACCACTTCCAATGGCTGCATGTCTTCCCCCTCCATGCCGCCCATGTCCTCCTCTCAGCTTGTGCTCCCCTACATCCCTCCGAGCAGCTAGGTGGAATGACAATAGCAGATGAGGATCAGGCTGAGGGGAGAACTTTGCCTCAGCACTGAAACAGAAGTTTTTTTTTCTTTTGAAACAGCACAGCAAGGGTTTCTCAAAACACTTGCTTTTTGGGTGGAGTAACCCTAACTTTTTGTTTATTGAATAAAACTCCTGCAATGTATATTAATTTAATCTTATTTTTCTTCTGGTATCCTTCTTCTGGGACCATAGAAAAGCCCCCTATAGAAGGAGCAGGAATGTAACATTAAACACAGTATACGTCTACGAGTCTTTGACAACACATTTCTGCCCCCCACGACTGCAAATGGACAGCTGTGGTTAGAAGTTACGCATTAGTGTAATAGTGCATATATGTACTGGGCCTACACCCCCTTTCCCAGAACACAAATACTTAATTTTAAATACCCATGGTCACTCTGGTATCTCTTATTGATCATTGCTCTGCATGCAGGAATATGTTTGGTTCCTGGACATTATTAATAAATTGATTTTTCAATGAGAGCATGCAGGTTCCACATATTGTTGGGCAGCTTTTCCAAGCCCTGTGTCGCAGAATGCATATGCTTCCTGGAAAAAAATAATTAAAAGACAATCTATCAACCCTATTGATGCTAAAACAATATTTTTAAATTATTCAGAGCCTTAAGAGAGTTGCTTAGTTGCACTATAACAAGTTGTGTGTATCAGAAACATAATTTCCTAAAAAAAAAAAAAACAACTGTTGTTAGATCTCTTATTATAGCAGTTCTTTTTGTTGTTGGTTCCAAAAGAGTTAAAACCCACAATTATTCAGACTCTGGATACCAGCAGTGCTGCTAAGATGTAAGAAAAAAAATCTTAATCAAAAGCTGTTTGGCATAGAAAGGGCACAAGCTGATGAACGCTTTTATTTAGCCATCGCACTGCCCAAACCTTCCATGGGCAAAGACAATGTGATTTTAATTTAAATTCTATCAACGATTGTAAACTCAGTACAGCTCTGAATAGTGTTGGGATTTCAGTTGGCTCGCCACTGTAGTTTTCCTTGCAAAAACATTCTTGATAAATCCCAAAACATTATAAAATAGTCTGAGGATGTTGATTTGTCACATGATGCACATTCTAATGCTATACATATGCTGAGCTGCAGGATCGCTTTACTGGGCTGAAGTTTTGGCTGGAAGATGTGATAGAAATTTAATAAGAGGCACACTTTTCCGTAGTTATTTTACACACCCAGTAGTAATGTTACTCTTTGTTGATAGCAAAGATTAATTTTCAGTTTGAAGATCTTGTAGCATATGGTTGATCTAAAAAAATGATGTGAATTCCAGTGATGTGAAAGAGAAAATGACAGTAAAAATTATAAATATAAGTGGACACAAACCACCACACTCATGGCTTTCAGCCATTCAGATCTCCCAACAGTCCAGATTTCGGCAGGATAGTCCTGATATCGGGGTCCTGTCCAGCCGTCCTAATTTAGCACACTGATGTCCTGCATTCCAGAGGGCAGCATATTATTTGCCCGGCGGCACTCTGGACTTCCTGAAACTCAATTCAAGTCGGATTCCCCTGGGGAAAGGGAGATCCAGCACCGGAGAGCAATCTTCGTGGTTAAACCGTTTGAGGTAAGAAAGCTCCAGGGATCTCTGGGCACCATAACAACTTTAATAGGACATTATAGGCACCAAAACAACTTTAGCTTAATGAAACAGTTTTGGTGTATAGATCATGCCCCTGCAGTCTCATTGCTCATTTTTCTGCCATGTAGGAGTTTAAGCACTGTTTATGCACAACTCACTGCATGTAACTTGCACAGCCTTTCTAAACACTTCCTGTAAAGAGAGATCTAATGTTTACATTTCCTTTATTGCACAGTGTGTCTAATTTAGAGTTTCTTATCTGTTGCAATGTTAATAGCATTATAGACCCTACAGGAGCCCTCTGTGTGTGATTAAAGTTACATTTACAGAGCAGGTGATAAAAATGTCTAAAGTAAGTAAACATGCAGACTGTGTCAGTCACAGTCAGGGGAGGTGTGGCTAGGGATGCATGGACAGAAACAAAAGTGATTTAACTTTAAAATGGCAGAGAACTGAGCAATGAGACTTCAGGGGCATGGTCTATACACCCAAACTTAAGAACGAGGTGTGTACTATGCCGCCCTGCAAAACATGGGCTTTAATGCCCAGCAAAGCGGGATCCTCCAGCGCGGTTTACTTACCTAACATGGCGATCCAGATTGGGGTGACAAGCCAGGCAGCCAAACCGGCCCACATGACACATGACCGAATCGGCAGCAAGCAGCACTGCCTGCATGGGGGCTGCCTGGATTGTCAGGCAGTCCCCAAAACATAAAAATATTTTTTTTACATTAATTATGGGACAAAAATTGCAAAATCATATATAGTTTATTTTATTTATATATATATATATATATATATATATATATATATATATATATATATATATACACACACCCATATATATATATATATATATATATATATATATATACACACAATTTAGTTAATTTTTATTCTAAGTGTATTTTGATATTAATGTATATATATCAAAATACAGCCTTAAAAAAAACACTAATCAGTGAGGCTATTTAGAAAAAAAGGCTTCAATTTGCTAGGGAGCATAAAGATTGGATTCTGGAGCAATGGAAGAAGGTCATGTGGTCTGATGAGTCCAGATTTACCCTGTTCCAGAGTGATGGGCGCATCAGAGTTAGAAGAGAGGCAGGTGAAGCGACGCACCCATCATGCCTAGTGCCTACTTTACAAGCCTGTGGGGGCAGTGCTACGATCTGGGGTTGCTGCAGTTGGTCAGGCCTAGGCTCAGCAACATTATGTGCCCAAAGAATGAGGTCAGCTGACTACATGAATATACTGAATGACCAGGTTATTCCATCAATGGATTTTTTCTTCCCTGATGGCACGGGCATATTCCAAGGTGATAATGCCAGGATTCATCTGGCTTAAATTGTGAAAGAGTGGTTTAGGGAGCATGAGACATCATTTTCACACATGGATTGGCCACCACAGAGTCCAGACCTTAACCCCATTGAGAATCTTTGGGATGTGCTGGAGAAGGCTTTGCTTAGTGGTCCGACTCTACCATCATCAATACAAGATCTTGGTGGAAAATTAATGCAAAACTGGACGGAAATAAATCTTGTGACATTGCAGAAGCTTATCAAAACAATGCCACAGCGAATGGGTGCCGTAATCAAACCTAAAGGCGGCCCAACAAAATATTAGTGTGTGACCTTTTTTTTGGGTGGTGACTTTTTTTTGGGCCAGGCAGTGTATATACAAGGCTGGCCTGTCCATAGTGATAACTGCTTTATATGCAGCCCCAGGCCCCTGATAGCATGTCCTGTGAAGAAGGGCCCCAGTTGTGTGATCTAGCAAGACTCCTGCAGCATAAGGTCCTCTCCTCTATTGGCATGCATTCAGTGCCACATGGAGTGTTTCCATGGAAACCCACAACAAAACTCACACAGCTAACGAGAGCAGAGGACCTAATGCTGCAGGAGGTTCAAGATTAAGCTCCTGGGTGCCTTCTTCATTAAGATTAAGCCACTGGACCCCCAAGGAAACTAGTGTACCCCATTCCTGATCACAGGGGGAATAAACAGAATTCTAAAAATAAAAAAAAATCTCTCCCTCACAGCCCTTATCCAATCCCACTGCACACACTGCATGCACAATACTGCACCCACTACACAGGCACTACACCAAATACACTGCATCCTTTACACAAGGGCTTGACAAATTTACTTGGAATCTAGTAGCCAGCTAAAAAAGTTAAGAGTCAAGTATTTTTTTAACTAACAAATCTTTATTTTCAGCGACAAAGTCACAATTCTTAAAGGGACACTGCAGCTTAATGTAGCGGTTCTGGTGTCTATAGCCTGTCAGGCTTTTCAACGTAAACACTGCCTTTTGAGAGAAGGCAGTGTTTACATTGTTACCTAGTAAAACCTCTAGTGACAGTCACTCATACGGCCACTAGGGGTGATTCCTACTCAATTTCTGCACAGAGTGCAGCAATGACATTAAGCATCTTCACACTCTGCATGTCTGCATTGAGCTGCTGAATGTTCCCCATAGAGATGCATTGATTCAATGCATCTTTATGAGGAGATGCTGATTAGCGCATGCATAATAGCCCCCCAATGCTTTCCTATGGGAAAGCATTGGCTTGGCTGTGATCATCAAGATTGATCATCTCAGGTGAAGCCAGCCACGGCGAGACCGGCACAGCATGGGAAAGAAGGTGAGAAAAATCACCTTTCCCATCCAATCAGTGAGGGTCTAAACAGGGGACCTAAAACTGACACATACACACTCTCTGTGACAGACACGCACAGTGACAGACACATACACACTGACAAGACAAACACCCCTCTCTCGCAAACACTCAGAAACAAAAGCAGAAAAAGCAGAAATTATAATTTTTTAAAAAATATTTTATTTTAATTCCACCCAGCCACCCTACCTTTGTGAGAGCTGGAGTAAATCAGCTTTCTGTGGATTCCCGTGGGGTTACAGCCATCTTCCTGTTCTGCTACCTCATGCACTGTAGTGATGCCGGGGCTGGAGTGATGTCATATTCCGTCTTCCAGCATCACTGGAGAAAGCAGAGCAGGAAGATTACAGCTGGCTGCCTCCCTCCACTCTCCCACAGGCGGCCGGCCCCCTCTGCTCTCCATTAGCTAGTGCTGAATGCTCTCTCGCCCCCTCAGCTTAACGGGCTCACAAATCTCAGGCGCCAGGACAAAATTCCTAGTTGTCATGGAGACCTGGGATTTGAAGAGCCATGCACTACATGAACACAGACACTGCACTCACAACACTGCATTCACTACACAAACACAGATACTGCACACACTACATTGCATCCACTACACAAACACCAACACTGCATCCACTACACTGCACCAACTACATAAACACAGACACAGCGCCCACTACACCCTCTGCAGCCATTATACACACACTCTTCATCCACTACACAAACACACACTCTGTATCCATTATACACACGCACACAATGCATTCACTATACACACTACATCCACTACACATCCACTGCATCCACTACACAAACACACACTCTGTATCTACTATACACACGCATACAATGCATTTACTATACACACTGCATACAATACACACCAGAGCCCAGTGGGCCTGGTGCTGACAATTATGATGGTCCTAATTACAGGATCTTATCAACCAAAAACACTAAAACAGTCATACCTCTCAAGCATCATGTATCTGATGGAGATGGTGTTGGAGGGAAACTCAAAGGATGCAGCTATAAGAAAACACATACTCTATGCTAATCTCTTTATCTAATTTATGCTTTCATCTTTTAAGTAAATCCATACTCCCTAACAGCAGTGTCCAGTAAAGCAGGAAGTCAATGGGCGGGGTAAAAGGGTGAGCCACTGACGCGAATCACGTGACCAGAACTGTCAAAAGGGGCGAACATGCCCAAAAAGGGGGCATGTCTGTCCAAAGAATTGGAAGGCCAGCCTGGCATCAGTGTCCCTTTGTATCACAGTGTCAATGTCCCCTAGTCTCCCAGTGTCTGTGTCCCCATTTCTCCCAGTGTCCCCATGTCTCAGTGTGTCCCGTGTCACTAGGATACTAGGGTACACTGAGAGACATGGGGACACAGTGAGACATGGGCCTGAGCCTCACTGGGATCTTTAGTGGAGTTAACCTGTGAAAGACCAGCTCTCCGCTACAGGGATACAGACATTTGGGGAAACTAGGACACTGGGGACACTGAGAGACGAGAGACATGGGAACACAGACACAGGGAGACACTGAGACTGTGACACTAGGGACACTGGCTAGGAGGCATGGAGACACAGACACTTGGGGAGATGGGGGCACTAATGTGGACATAGACATGGGGAAACAGACATTTGGGGACACTGGGAGACATGGGGACACTAGGGACACAGAGACATGAGGACACAGGCACTGGGAGACATGGAGACACTGAGACACTAGGGACACTGGCTGGGTGACATAGGGACACTGGGAGACATGGGGACACCGAGACACTGGCTAGGAGACATGGGGACACAGACATTTGGGGACACTGAGAGACATGGGACACTGAGAGACATGGGGACACAGACACTGGGAGACTAGGGGACACTGACTGGGAGACACGGGGACACTGGGAGACATGGAGACACTGTGTCCCTAGTGTCTCCGTGTCCCAATGTGCAGCAATGACACAGCGTCCCCATGTGTCTCAGAGTCCCCATGTTTCCCAGTGTCCCCAAGTGTCGGTGTCCCCACGTCTCCCAGTGTCTCGGTGTCACCATGTGTCCCCTAGTGTCTCAGTGTCCCCATGTCTCCCTGCTGCCTTTCTCCCCATCCTTCACATACCTGAGCTGTAGTCTGTCTCTGCAGGCTGGGAGCTTCTGTAACTTCCTATCCCTGCCTCTCTCCATACACCTACTGGTATTGCAGAGTACTCTCCGTTTATACTGAGAAAAATATTTGCATTTGTATTGCCGGTATTACTGCAATACAGTCACGGCCAGACAGCCTCAAATATCGACTGTGCCTTAAAATACGAGTCAGGTGGCAAACCTAAGAGTAGTGTGTAGTTTTTTTTTCAATGGGCATATTCCATGGGCCTGGGCCTGGAGCTGCAGCTCCATCATCCCCTATGTTAATTCGGCCCTGATACAGACACTGCATCATTCACACAGACACTGCATTCACTACACACACTGCATAACATAATGGATGTCAGAGCGTTGTCACGGGTTACCATGGATGGGGAGTTAGAGAGAAGGAAATGATGTAATGTGCTCCTGCAGTCTGCTGGGCCCCCTCTGCAAGTACAGAGAGCCGGGGGACAATGCCACCGGACCACCAGGGATGGAATCTCCCCCGTCCCTGAACCAGGTAAGAAGCAGGGAGGGCGGAGAAACATGTATTACATTATTAGATTACATGCATACACTAATAAACACACACACACTCTGCATTCATTACACTAACACACACTCTGCATCCACTACACTGACACACACTCTGCATTCACTACACTAACACACACTCTGCATTTATTACACCAACACACACTCTGCATCCACTGACACACACTTTGCATCCACTACACTGACACACACTCTGCATTCATAACACTAACACACACTCTGCATTCATTACACTAACACACACTCTGCATTCACTACACTGACACACACTCTGCATTCACTACACCAACACACTGCATTCACTACACTGACACACACTCTGCATTCATTACACTAACACACACTGCATTCATTACACTAACACACACTCTGCATTCATTACATTGACACACACTGCATTCACTACACTAACACACACTGCATTCATTACACTGACACACACTGCATTCATTACACTGACACACACTCTGCATCCACTACACTGACACACACTCTGCATTCATTACACTAACACACATTTAGCATTCACTACACTAACACACACTCTGCATTCATTACACCAACACACTCTGTATTCATTACACTAACACACACTCTGCATTCATTACACCAACACACTCTGTATTCATTACACTAACACACATTCTGCATTCACTACACTGACACACACTCTGCATTCACTACACTGACACACACTCTGCATTCATTACACTAACACCCACTCTGCATTCACTACACTGACACACACTCTGCATTCACTACACTGACACACACTCTGCATTCATTACCCTAACACACACTCTGCATTCACTACACTGACACACACTCTGCATTCATTACACTGACACACATTTTGCATTCACTACACTAACACACACTCTGCATTCACTACACTAACACACACTCACTCTGCATTCATTACCCTAACACACACTCTGCATTCATTACACTAACACACACTCTGCATCCACTACACTGACACACACTCTGCATTCATTACACTGACACACACTCTGCATTCACTACACTAACACACACTCTGCATTCACTACACTGACACACACTCTGCATTCATTACACTAACACACATTTTGCATTCACTACACTAACACACACTCTGCATTCACTACACTAACACACTTTGCATTCACCACACTAACACACACTCTGCATTCATTACACTAACACACACTCTGCATTCACTACACTAATACACACTCTGCATTCATTACACTAACACACACTCTGCATTCACTACACTAACACACACTCTGCATTCATTACACTAACACACACTCTGCATTCATTACACTAAAACACACTCTGCATCCACTACACTGACACACACTCTGCATCCACTACACTGACACACACTCTGCATTCATTACACTAACACACACTCTGCATTCACTACACTAACACACACTCTGTATTCACTACACTGACACACACTCTGCATTCATTACACTAACACACATTTTGCATTCACTACACTAACACACACTCTGCATTCATTACACTAACACACACTCTGCATTCACCACACTAACACACACTCTGCATTCATTACACTAACACACACTCTGCATTCACCACACTAACACACACTCTGCATTCATTACACTAACACACACTCTGCATTCACTACACTAACACACACTCTGCATTCATTACACTAACAAACTCTGCATCCACTACACTGACACTCACTCTGCATCCACTCCACTGACATACATTCTGCATTCACTCCACTGACACACACTCTGCATTAACTATACACACAGCATCCACTACACAAACATCCTGTATTCACAGTACAAACACTACATCCACCACACATTCAAACACTCTGCATTCACTATACAGAAACACTGCATCTAATACACACACTACTTCCACTACAGACACTGCATCCACTAAACACATTGCATCTAGTACACACAAATACTACATCCACTACTCAAACACACTCTGCGTTCACTATACACATTGCATACACTACACAAACACACACTCTGCATTCACTGCACAAACAGTATCTAATACACACAAACACTACATCCATTACACACATTCTAATTCACTTCCACTATACACACCACATTCAGTCCTGAATCATTGTCAGCGGACTAGGTAGGAGTCCTGTGGGCGGACTCGTGGGAGGGCCGGGCTGGGCGGGGGGGGCCCAGACCTTGTGCTTTGTCAGGGGCCCCAAAATTTCTGGTGGCGGCCCTGTCTGGACCTAATAACAATCACCTGTTCCTTAGTAGGTTTTACCATTAGGTAAACAACAAATTACAGATTACACCACGTCATGATTTATTTAAAGCTAATAATGCCAAAAGCTAATAATGCCAAAATTCCATAGGAAATAAGAGGCTAAGTAGCAAACAGGTGCTGCTAATCAAATGCCCTTTATTATTGATCATCAGCAATTGTGACCACCTCTATAAAAGCCAAAGTTTGAGCAATTAGTTTGTCTGGAGCATTCAGGTGTGTGTTAACACAATGCCAAGGAAGACATTAGCAATGATCTTAGAGAAACAATTGTTGCTGCCCATCAAACTGGGACAGTTTATAAGGCTATTTCCACCACTCATAGTTCATCAATCTACAGTGAGAAAGATTATTCAAAGGTGGTTAATATTCAAGACAGTTGCTTATCTGGAAATCCCAGCAAATTCACCCCAAATTACATCTCAGACTCTACAGGCCTCAGTTAGCATGTAAAATGTTAACGTCAATGACATTACAATTAGAAAAAGACTGAACAAGTATGGTTTGTTTAGAAGGGTTGCAAAGAGAAAGGCTCTTCTCTCTAAAAAGAACATGGCAGCACAGCTTAGGTTTGCAAAATTGCATCTGAACAAATTCTCAAACAATGTCCTCTGGACAGAGGACACCAAAGTGGAGATGTTTGGCCATAAAGCACAGCGCCACATTTGGCAAGAATCTGAAATGGGCAAGCCAATATTTGACCCTGTAACTTTCCAAAACCCCATAAAACCTTCACTGATCAGAAATATGTTTTAGAGCAGGAAAACATATAATAACAATATTATCAATGAAAGGGCAGTTTGTTTGTGAAGAATGGCAAAAAAACAAATAAAACAATAACTTTGGCCAGGGTTTGTGACCAGGTGGCTACTAAAAATACCCCATTTTGAATACCCTGGGTTGTCTACTTTTGCAAATGGTATGCCATGATGGGGGTAGTTTTCATTCCTGGGCTGCTATATGGTTTCAAAGGCATCATAACCAATCTGCCAAATTTCAATGTTTAAAAACTAAAATGGTCAAGCCCTATATTTAACCCTGTAGCTTTCCAAAGCCCCATAAAACCTGTACATTGGGGGTACTGTTGTACTTGTGAGACACTCGTGATGCATGGAAACTACCATTTTCAGCAAGTCCATCATTAAGGCAACATGCCTTGTGTCCTTTCTATGAACTTTATAAGTCTCATATAGTTGTAGTCAACCTGAATATGTTATGATTATAACTGATTTTGTATATATTGTCCAGAAAATAAAAGAAATATAAAGATATGTTCTAAGACTCAAAGAGGGAGATTTATCAAAGCAAAGACATATGCTATTCTAGCATAAATTGCTAAATATTGAACAATCACAATGAAAACCAACAGAATCAGTCTACACTTTGCACCCAAAATATCATGTTTTGCTTTGATAGTGATTTATTTTTCAAATTAGTATTTATTGGGCTCAGCTGATGTTTGGGGTTATTTAGCACCAATACTATAATTGAGAGAAATGATGCCCTACAAATGAACTGATATTTATAGCCGCATAAAAAGTGTGACAAAAACTGTGCAAACTACAGTATACAAAAAGCAATTCTGTGAACAGATGGGAGGCTCTTGTTTGACATTTCACTGAACAAACACTAGCCATGCACCAGAAGCTTCCCGAAAGACAAAAAGCCCTGTGGAGAGCAGACCATGGTTCAACCTGTTATAACAGTGCCATTTAACATACCGCGTGATTGTGTTAGTACAACTCCAATCCAGTTATAAATAACATGTCTCGCTTACATTATCTCTATATCAACAATAGAGAGTTTGAGTAGGGGTATTTCTTTTACAGCACTTAAACACGTTAAAAGAACCTATCACAAGTGATCATGGATAAAATAAGCATAATAGTCTTCACTTCTAATATCTGAAACGTTGTTTGCTTTCTCTGCACTGTCATGATGTGCAGATATTTTAAAGGGACACTATAGTCACCAGAACAACTACAGCTTAATGTAGTTGTTCTGGTGAGTATAATAGCTTCCTTCAGACTTGATGCAAACACTGCCTTTTCAGAGAAAAGGTAGTGTTTACATTGCCCCTAGGGACACCTCCAAGTGGCCACTCCTTAGATGGCCACTGGAGAGGCTTCCTGGCACAGGGCTGCACATTAAGCAGCCCTGTCGTTCAGCGTCCCCATGCTCTGCATGGAGACACTGAATTTTCCTCATAAAGATGCAGTGATTCAATGCATCTCTACGAGGACGTCCTGATTGGCCAAAACAGGATTTGGCCCCGCCCTGTGTCGATTTTAGCCAATGCAATGCTTTTCCTATGGGAAAAAAAAATCGCCATTTGATGATGTCACAGAGGGTGGGCGGAGCCAAGGGGTACAAGGAGAACAAAGCAAGAAAATTCATGTGGTTCACTACTAACACTTTCTCAAAAGCTGTGGAGATGGGAAACAAAGTGATTCCCATATATTTTGGTGCTTTTTAGGCATCTTTTTGTCCATTCAAATGTGTCATGGGCTCAAGAACCCATTGACAGTACATATCAATACCCTCTATCCCAAAGCCTGTAGATTAGAAAATGAAGTACACGGTCTTAGCTCCCCCTACCTACTTTACCCTCTACCATACTTAACACTTAGTTTAGCTGCAAGTGACTTTGGGCGCCAGGTATTATGAAGAAAGTATCAAAAACAGCTAAACATTTTACAGTTAAGTTTGCAAGAAAAACTTCTAAATGTGGAGTGTCCTTTTAAAATATTTCACCCAACTTTTGAATGATGTCACTCCTCTAATCATCTACCTTTGATGTTTGTAATATAGTCTTTTGATCTACAAAAAGGATCGCCCTCAAATCAGGATCAATGCTACTTGTTAAACTGGTGGTTTTCTGATACTTTTTTTGCCATAACTGTGGTTGAGAATCATAAGACATAAAGCAATTTTTACATGATGTCCCTCTACATATATTTTTAGCAAGGGTAAATCACTATAAGGTGGTGTCCATATATACCTTGGCAACATGTATTCTACATTGAATAGAAGTGGTGGAGTAGCTCTTTTTTTTCTAGACATTTTTCAACATTCATCTGACTTGTAATAATGACAAGGGGCAACCTGCTATCTTCAGTTGGGTAGTTTAAAACTCTTGAGCAGATATTTCTGCTTACCCTAATTGCAGAATGTAAACATCTTATATTTCTGTAGTTGTACCCAAAAGTTTCCAAATTAGCTCTGCTAGAAAGCAATATTAGATCAATAAACACAGGGCATACTGAATTGCTTGCTGAGAAAACAAAGGGCACTTTGTCCATCTCTCAGCTTAATGGCACATGCTTAATAAAACACTTAGCTGGCACCCAGCAGCCTATTTGATTTCTCCCATCTGCGAGTTGAAAAGCTTTAAAATGAAATGCAGTGTGCATTCAATACGAGGTGCTGATGGTGTAATCAATGCAGCTAATTAGAGTGAACTGTTCAACTGTTCAAGTCCTCAACTACCCGTTGTATCTGAAGAAGGAATTTCCTCTGGGCAGACACCAAGTGCAGCTTAAATTGTTATTGCTGACTCCAAAGAATGCAGTTTTATTTCCCATTCCCGCAATCAGCCGAGAAGCCTGCTGCATATGCTGACGTGTTTCCTCTATTCGAGTGTTGCTATTCTTTCATATAATGGCAACACTGAGACACAGCTAATTCCTTTTTCAGTTAAAGTCAGACTTACAATTTTGAGGTTAGGATTGTTATTGCTCACATTTTTCTTTAAAAGCTCAACATTGAAATATTAGCCAACACCAACGTTTCAATTTAAACTAAAAAGTATATATATATATATATATATATATATATATATATATATATATATATATATATATATATATATATATATATATTATATATATAAAACTTGTATTTATTTTTTAAATACTACTTCAGTGTATATATTTAAAATTAAACCATGTGTGGGTGGTGCTCAGATATTGTTGCAAATTAAATGCTGGCAGCACTGAGGCCAAGAACAAAAAAATTTAAAGTATTTGCTACTTTGGCAAAACATTTCTTCAGATTGGGTACACATATGATATACATATACATATGATATATAAAAAAAACTATTGCCCACTTTTCTAGAGATTTTTTAAATGAATAGTATAGGTACCATAGTGAATTGAGGTTGCTAAAATGGTCATGGTGCCAGCATCTTGTCCATGCAAGCTTTTGTACAAAAAACTTGTCAAACAGATAAAATAAGGCTTTAAAGTGGAGCTCAGAGCATTTTATATAAATTATTGTTGGAATTATAATGGATTTTAACAATTTGAACTCCAGACGCTTGTCTATTCATTTGTATTGCTCATTGTTGGAGATGGACCATCTATAATATTCGAGACAGTATGAAATAAGTACATGCTCACTTAATTTTTAATATGTAATAGAGAACTAGTTTGTGACTTGATATGCTAAATAGGCGAGTCATAGAGAGGTGGATTTGTGATACGTTAATATCAAGTGAGATTCTAATTTGGATTTTAAAAGAACACTTCAAGCACCATAACCATAACAGCGCACCACAAGGGATATGGTGCCAGGAGTGTCCTGGAGCCTCCCCTACGTAAATTTGGTAATGGTTTGACTTCTTAAGTGACGATACAGGGCTTAGATTATTGGCTGAGAACTCTCAGAAACTCTTAGCCGATGAGGCAGCCCTGCACTACCAGGCTTAGGAAAGGAGCTTCCAGATCTCAGCATTGGAAGAAGACAGGCGAGGAGGGAAGGATCAACTAAATCTTTAACGGTTTCACTACTTATACTGGGAGTTGCCAGGGCAGTCCTGATACCATAACCACTAGTTGGTGTTTGTAGTGTTCTGTTAATTCACTGCAGTTCTTTATTTAGTTAATAAACCTCCGCGTCACATCTCATAAAAACATTTCCAGTGCCTTTTCTAACGAGCAGATGACTAATTAGTCACTTGTGCCTATAGCCGGCAGTTTTTGGGAACTGGTGAGTCATAAGGTCCATCCTAAAGCACAATTATATACAGGCTGGAAAATACTGACAGGATTATTTACTAAAGTGAAAATTCAAGTGAATTCAAAGTTATTTTGAAATCTAAGTTTAAGATTGCCAAACTAGAAAAAAATCTCTAACTCAGCTATGCTCCATGTTTGGCTACTCTGACTTTAAATTTGAACTTCTCAGGCGGAGCTAGCTGCAGACCAGCACGGATGCATCTTGGAAAGCTCCGTACCAACGCAAGCAAAAAAACAGATTTACTGGCGGAAATTAGGCACCTACCTCTCCCATACCTTGTCTACCTGTTGGAGAGGTGATGATGGATAAGAAAAACAAAAAACCAAGGCCGGACAAACTCCCTCACAGCCACAACATCGGTGAACTCCTGCAGAACTCACAGAAGGCTGCATGGGAGAAAATGGCGCTGGGGAAGACGGATTTTCTGACTTCTCAGAGGAAGCCTACCCAAACCTGGGAGAAGGCGCATGGATAAATCCATCCAAAGGGCACAAGACCAAGACATCTCCAGCAGGAGACCCGGTCACTGCAGCCTTGTTGACAAAAATGTTTACAGAACTCAGGCAAGCTGCTGACCGAGCAAGCTTCAAGGAGGCCATAAAGGCCACTGCAAACTCCCAAGACACACGCATAACTATTCTGGAACAGAGAATTTCAGATCTCCACAAACAACAACTTGGCACATCTGAGAAAGTGGAGGCCCTGGAGGACAACAGAAGGAAAAATAACTTAAAGATCAGAGGGGTACCTGATGACATAGGAGTCCCACACCATGTGAGGCGCCTATTGGCAACATTACTACAACCTAAACAGGCAAACAGGTTCCTATATTCAAAAAGTGTTCAAAATCCTTGCCTGGAAATTATAGACCTGTGAGCTTAACTTCTGTGGCTGGGAAAATATTTGAAAGGTTATTAAGGGATAATATTCAAGAATTTCTTGCGAAAAACATGGTTATCAGCAAAATTCAGCATGGTTTTATGAAGCACAGGTCATGTCAAACTAACTTGATTGCGTTCTACGAAGAAGTAAGTAGAAGTATAGATTGGGGTGTTGCAGTGGATGTGATCTATTTGGATTTTGTCAAGGCATTTGAAACAGTTCCACACAATAGATTAGTGTTCAAACTCAATGAAATCGGTCTAGATGAAAATGCTTGTTCTTGGGTAGAACATTGGCTTAAAAATAGAGTACAAAGAGTTGTCGTTAATGGTAAATTTTCAAGCTGGACAGAGGTGGCAAGTGGTTTCCCTCAGGGGTCTATTCTGGGACCCCTTCTATTTAACATGTTTATAAATGATCTTGAAGAAAGCATTGAAAGTCATGTTTCAGTGTTTGCAGATGACACAAAACTCTGTAAAATAATACAATGTGAGCAAGATATTACTTTGATGCAGAGGGATTTAGATAGACTGCGACTGGGCACTCAAATGGCAGATTAAATTTAATGTTGAAAAATGCCAAGTTATGCACTTCGACGTAAAGAATACACAAGCAACGTACACCCTTAATGGAAGCGAATTAGGGATAACAACACATAAAAAGGACTTGGGAATTGTTATAGACAACAAAATATGCAACAATGTCAATCAGCATGCATGAAGAAGGGCATTCATTCCCGGGATGAGAATATAATTTTGCCTCTTTATAAATCACTGATAAGACCATATCTTGAATATGCTGTGCAATTTTGGGCACCCGTTCAAACGAAGGATATTATGTCACTAGAAAAAGTGTAGAGGCGGGCTACAAAATGAATAAAAGGAATGGAACATATCAGCTATGAAGAAAGGTTAACAAATTTAAACCTATTTAGTTTAGAAAAACGTTGCATGAGAGGGGATATGATAACATTATACAAATATATTCGGGGCCAATACAAACCATTGTGTGGAAATCTATTCACAAACCGGACTTTACATAGGACACGAGGTCATGCATTTAGACTGGAAGAAAGAAGATTTCGTCTAAGGCAAAGGAAAGGTTTTTTTTTCCTGTAAGAACAATAAGGGTGTGGAATTCTCTGCCTGAAGAAGTGGATTTATCAGAGTCCATACAGATGTTCAAACAGCTACTCGATACTTGCAAAAACAGAATATTCAAGGATATAATCTTTCAATCTAGGGTAATAACTGCTTGATCCAAGGATAAATTGACTGCCATTCTGGAGTCAAGAAGGAATTTTTTTTTGTTGCAAAATTGGAAGTGCTTCAAACTGGTTTTTTTGCCTTCTTTTGGATCAACAGCAAAAAACAAATGTGAGGAAGGCTGAACTTGATGGACGCAAGTCTCCTTTCAGCTATGTAACTATTTAACTATGTAAAACGCGTGAAAATAGATGGAATTTTCTGCCTGCCCAAATCGGCAAAAACACCCCCAACTGATACAGCAGACCTTATTGTGAGGTTTCCAACCCTTCAAGACAAGACCGCTTCATTAGCAGCGGCCCGAGGGAAAACACCTCTGTCATTCGAGGACTCCCATATAATACTGTTCCCTGACTTGACGAGGAGCACACTCAGCTGGCGCAAATCGCTTCAACCGAGCCTATAACACCTGAGATGTAAAAGTACCGCTGGGTTGTGCCGCGACTTATCACTTTCACCTTCCAAGGGACTACCTACGGGGTGAGGAGCCCACAGGAACTAGACTAACATCTGGGCTGGCTGGGCCTGACAGCTCCGCGAACGGAGTCCACGACCACCTTGACCCGGCTAGACCCCACTACAGTAAGGGAATTTATACCCAGATCGTCTCAAAGCAGTACGCCAGCAGGCGACACAGCCTGAGAGAACTATACTGAACGGACGATTTTACATCCTTCAGGATGCCACAAATTCCGCCACCACAACCCGTGATTATACTCACCAAGTTATAAATGTTATTTTGCTTAATGGTTATTACTTTATTACTTTGCTTTTGATCTCATAATCCTAAATACCTTACATATCTAGAAACGTTAGAGTGGCCTGATATATCTCCCCATTTACAATCTCATGTCATTCAAATACAGCCTTATGCAAATGGGCCCACACATAGTGTGGTCATATGTAAGAGATGTTCATTCTAGCGCTAGCTCCGACTTCTACCCTCCCCCATAATAGAGTTAAGATAACCTACTGACGTAAATCCCTGTAGACGTAAATCCCCCGAGAACTTAAGCTTACGCGAGACATACCGTTATTGAATATACCTTACTTATATGCCCAGTAGGGCTTATCTTATTTTATTATACCTGTTGACTAACTTGTTTTAAAAAAAACAAAAAAAATAACTCATGATGCTATGTACAAGATAATAACTATGCTTTTATTACTGTATGTGAACTCTAAGGGCAACAGCCCACATAATGTATTTCTTTTTAACATGCTGAGTGACCAAAATAAAGAATAAAATAAAAAATAAAAAATTGAACTTCTCTTTGAATTCTCACTTTAGTATATAACCATAAAGTAAATACCTGCAAGTAGAGCAGTGTGTTTGATGATCATAAGGTATGCTAAAGCCCAATGTGACTACCAGAGATATTAAAATATTTAAAGGGAAACTATAGCCACTAAAACAACTTTAGCCTAATGAGGCAGCTTTGGTGTATAGTTTATGCCCCTGCAGTCAGTGTTAAATCACTTTGTTATCGAAGGCCTAGTCACAAATACCTGCATATGACTTACAGATCCTTCATAAACACTTACTGTAAAGTGAGATCTAATGTTTACACTTAATTTATTGCAAAATTTGTTTAATTTCGAATTTCTTATCTTCTGCTCTGTTAACAGCTTGGTAAACCTTGCAGGAGCTTCCCGTGTTTAAAGCTCAATTTACAGAGCAGGCTATAAAAAGTTAATATCTGATATCTGGTTCAGGGAAAAGGCAATGTTTACATTATTGCCTAGGGACGCCTCTAGCGGCAGTCAATCAGACGGTCACTAGAGGTGCTTTCCGGGTCAGTGTCTCCATATGCATTGAAGCCTCTGAATTGATGTTGATAACACATATCATCATTGGCATTATTGGGAAAGCATTGTATATAGAGCTTTTGCTATTCCATATGCACTAACAGATTAAAGGGTTTGTAGGAGTTCTCCTAATTTCAATAGAGGGGAGGGCTTTGGATGACTGGCAGAACTTTATTCCTAAGAAACCTCTGAACTTTTAGTTCCCTTTTAGAAAAAAAATGTATGAGACAAGGAGGATTAGGAAACAAAATATAATGCTAGATCTGTTTCTATAGCTTCTCTTTACATGGTGGAGCACTTATATAAGATTCATGCTATGTGGAACAGCAGCTACAAATTGGGGCGCAGGGAGGGCGCCGATACAACTCCTCACCAAGGGCGCTAGAGACCATGCCTTCAGCTAGGGCTACATGGACAGAAACAACTGTAATTTAACTATTAAATGGTAGAGCACTGGTTCCCAAACTTTTTAGGTTCAAGGCACGCAAGTTAAAAATAATTTCCTAGGTTGTATTTATGTACAGCGCAGCAGCATGTACTGGGCCCCTGTTCGGCAGAAATGTTTGACGTTCAAGCGCAGATCCAGAACCTAATCTTGGGAGGGGCACTGGTAGATTATTTAAAGACACAATCCAGGCACAATAACCACTGCAGCACTTTATAGTGGTTATGGTGCCAGTAGTGCCCTCCCAGAGTAAGTAGTCAAACTGTTTGAGAATAGTTTGACAACTTACCTGGGATCTCCCGGGATTAGGGCTGTAGTAGGGAATAAGGGCAGTAGTGTGTCTGAGGGGTGCAATATGTGTGTATATGTGTGAGGGGTGCAGTGCGTGTGTGTGTGTGAGGGGAGCAGTGTGCGTGTGTGGTGTGCAGTGAGTGTATGGGGGTGCATTGTGTTTGTGAAAGATACAGTATGTGTGTGTGAGGGGTGCAGTGTGTGTGTATGTGGGGCAGTTTGCGCGTGAGGGATACAGTGTATGTGGGGGCAGGTTGTATAAGGTGTACAGTGTGTGGGGGGGGCAGTGTGTGAGGGGGTACTGTTTGTGTGTATAGGGTGCAGTGTGTGTGTATGTGGGGGGCACTGTGTGTATATGTGGGGGGTAGTTGTGTGTATAGGGGGAGATATTGTGGGTCTGTGGGGGTAGGAGGGCAGATAAATATATACTTTTATTTTTAAAGCGACACTATAAGCAGCAAGACCACTTCTTTTTCTAAAAAAAAAAAAAGTGGCCTGTGTACAATGTAGCACATTGCCATTTCAGAGATACAGCAATGTTTACATTGCAGGGCTAAACACACCTCTAGTGGATGTAAGAGTAACCAGATTGTTCTTTCACAGGGAGAACCAAGTCAGACTCACTTCTTAACATTTCAATATTCTCTACCCCTTCCATTCATAATCCCCCCTACCCCTTCCATTCATGTTATCTATGAGAAGCATTTGATTGGCAGAGAGCAGCCAATATCACGCATGTGCTTTTTGCCCACAATCCTTCTCTAAAAGAAGTATGTGATTGGAGAAGAAGTCAGTAAAACACCAGCAAAAGGGAGGCGGAAGAGCAAGCTGGAAGGACTGAGTTTCGCTGCTGGAAAAAGGTAAATAAAGGATCATTGACTCACTGAATTTTTTACATGTAAAAGCTGAGGTGACACTGATGTTGGGAACATTAGCTATGTTGGCCTTAAATTTGAAATTCACTTCTCACTATTGTGGAAAACCCTGTCACCTACTGAGGGGAACCTCTATCTTTACAGGATGCTATGTAGAGGTACAGTACTAGACATAATATTCAAAATTAAAGTTAAATATTACTCACGTTGTTTACCTCTCCAGGACTTCTCTTCCGAAGATTCCACCATCGAAGGTGACAGCATGCTTGCTGATGTCTTTGCAATCTCCTCTAATCCATTGCTCCTCATATAGAATCAATGAATTGGAGACCCAAGAGAGCCACTAGAGGTGAATTTAACCCTACAATGTAAAAACAATAAAGTTTCTCAAAAAGTTTAAAATTAAGACTAAAGGATCACTGACTTTATCAAGAACACGTCATTGATATGACATGGTCTGTGTGACTATAATGTTCCTTTAAACAAGCAATAATGGGACATGTATCTCTACCATCACAGTTTTATAAATAAAATAGCTTTTTTTGCTGTTGATGTTTTAAAAATGCAAAAAGATGGGGGGCGGAGCCTAGCTGTGAGCCAGAGCAGTCGCATCTATCCTGAGCTCCTCAACCAAAGCCTAAATTATGCAGTTTTTTCTTTAGAAATCCAACTCCAGAGTGGCTGAAAGTACCTACCCGACCGCCGGGAACACCACGGGAACACCATGGGCCGCAAAAAAAGGCCGACAAAAGTCCGCCGGGTCAGAGCATAGGGGAACTGTTCAGGAGATCACAGCAGGCCGCATGGGACAAGCCACCCAGGAGTGGGGAAAGGGAGACGGTCACAGCAGCACAACTTCGCACAATGCTCGCCGAGCTACGCACCAACATAGCGGGGGACATGGCCCGCTTCCAAAAAGCTGTGGACGGTGTAGCAATGCAAGTCACCCAGCTTGAAGCTGCACACAGTAAGCATGATACCAGACTTAGTGCAGTGGAACAGGGCCTAAAGCAGCGGCAGCAACAAGCAGATGAGAAGATAGACGCCCTGGAAGACCAAAGATGATGATACAATTTAAAGATACGGGGGATCCTGGAAACTGTGACTATGGAGGACTTACCTCATGTTATCAGGAGATTCATGGCTGCCCTTCTCCCACCTAAAAGCGCTAAAGCGATTAAACTTAATGGCATGTTTCGCCTTCCCAAACTGGCAGGTGTACCATCTTGAGCAACACCAGACCTAATTCTCAGACTCCAATCTCTGCAAGATAAAGCACTGCTTCAAGCAGCGATAAAAGGGAAAACCTTGATCACACTTGAGGGAGCCTCGCTACTAATATTCCCAGAAATACGCTAGACTGGCGTCGGCCCCTGAGACCCCTTCTGCAGCAACTGATAGAAAGAGAGATCCCTTACAGATGGTGACTGCCATGAGCACTTCTGTACACAATGCAAGGCACGATACACAGAGCTGGAACCTACAAGGCACTGGAGGACCACATGAGCACACCACATGAGCACACTGGGCATTCTGCAAAAGACAAAGAACACCGCAATGAACTTGTCATGCCTGGACCCAGCGACCATCCGGGAATTCATGCTTCGAGCACCGATACCCTCACAACTTACCAGCGATGTGACCTAGACAGGCCCAGAGACTCATGGGGATAACCAGCCACACTCAGAGACTTACCCCCACATTCTACCAAACAGCTTAACAGCTTACATATTGTTATAGTTATGCTTAACTTTTCATTGTCTTTCTATATTTTTATAGTTTAACACTGCGACACCCTAGCCTCTAGTTAGCACATTCCACTACAACTCTAGATCCTACGCTACCCGAGGGCTCTGGGGCAGCCACCAAAGGATTAATCTTGCCCAGACTCAGACCATCCGCCCGCACCTGAGGTCATTTATCCCAATCGGCTCGCGGCCGAGTTATTATAATAATATTGTTAGCAACACAACACTACCCCCCTGGGAGTCCCACTTACATTAAGGCAACATCCTTACACCCACTCAATCTCCAACCCAGGGTGCTCACATACGATATCTGTGCACTACAGCACTTCATGCTACCATTATAAATAAAATACCTCTCCCCACTTCTCTCTCTATAACAGCACCCATGCTACTCTTTGCTATATATGAACACCATTTTACTGTGATGACAATCGTACCTATGACTTTCTTTGTTGATGTACAAAGTGCTGTTGTACCCAATGTGAACTTGATGCCATTCCTCTTGAAATGAGACAAAATAAAAAATTTTAAAAAACAAAAAAAAATGCAAAAAGACTTTTAGTAAGCTATTAGAATGCGTGAAGCAACTGTCCCCTCTTAAAACCTTTGTTAGCCATGGCATGCTGGAAACATATTTCATAACCAACACTAATGATACCACATGCTGTCCCTGCAATCTGGGAGGTAAGTTTTCTAGTTTGCAGCTTCCAAGTTCAATACATTCAGTTCAATTTGTCTGAAATGTACAAAGATTCAGATTCAACTTAAGTAAATAAGAAGAAAATACCCTCAAATTATCTAGAATTGTTATAACTCATAAATTATTCGGGATTAATTCCTATACTGTTACCAAATAAAGTCAGTTTGACTGCATGAGTTTCCAGCAAGCACTGTATAAAACTATAAATAATTTAGAAAACAAGTAGGGGGCCACAAGTGTCATGCAAACTGTATGCGCATTCTCATTATATATCTAGACTTGTGCATTAATGCTTTTCAGGTGGTACAAACTAATTAGATTCCTTTGATTTTACACCCAAACAAATAAATTAGCCAGGATTTACCTCTACAGTCTTCTTCATATGATAATGATTGTGATAATGAATAAAAAAACATAGCTAATATAACATCCTACCCTGACAATCACAATTGCTATAGCACGAATTTAAAAGGATACTCTAAGCAGCAGAAGAATTGTAGCTTAAAGGAATACTCCACTGCCCAAATACAAAAAAATAAATAAAACAACACTATTTTGTAGATATACTCCAAATGAAAACATGCATGCATTTAACCCCTTAAGGACTGAGCCAAATGTGCACAATGTGATCAAAACAAAACGTAAACAAAAACTTGAATTTGCGCTATATGTCTGTTCAGACGTAATTCACCTCTTTCATATTATGTGCACCCACACTTATTATATATCTTTTTATTCAGGGGAAGGAGGGATTTCATGTAACATCAAATATTTAAGTATGAAACATAATTTAATATGAATAAAATGTAAAAAAAATGGGAGAAAATAAGAATTTGAAACAGTTTTTTAGTTCTATGTGACATTCTAACTGTGAATGTCATAATACGGTTTGCTTTTACTGCAATAAAATACACATATTTGTATTCAGCGATGTTTCACGTGTAAAACAGCACCCCCTATGTTCAGGTTATATAGTGTTTTGGTAAGTTACAGGGTCAAATATAGAATGTTACATTTTTCAGTTTTTTCACATTGAAATTCGCCAGATTGATTACATTGCCTTTGAGACCGTATGGTAGCCCAGGAATAAGAATTACCCCCATGATGGCATACCATTTGCAAAAGTAGACAACCCAAGGTATTGCAAATGGGGTATCCAGTCTTTTTTAGTAGCAACTTGGTCACAAACACTGGACAAAGTTAGTGTTAATATTTGTTTGTGTGTGAAAAATGCAAAAAACTAATTTGAACGCCAATTTTAGCCAGTGTTTGTGACTAAGTGGCTACTAAAAAAGACTTGACATACCCCATTTGCAATACCTTGGGTTGTCTACTATTGCAAATGGTATGACATCATGGGGGTAATTTTCATTCCTGAGCTATCATACGCTCTCAAAGGCAACGTAACCAACCTGGCCATTTTCAATGTAAAAATATTTGACCCATATATTTGACCCTGTAACTTTCAAAAACGCTATAAAATCTGTACATGGGGGGTACTGTTATACTCGTGAGACTTTTCTGAACACAAATATTAGTGTTTCAAAACAGGAAAACATATCACAACAATTATACAGGGAGTGCAGAATTATTAGGCAAATTAGTATTTTGACCACATCATCCTCTTTATGCATGTTGTCTTACTCCAAGCTGTATAGGCTCGAAAGCCTACTACCAATTAAGCATATTAGGTGATGTGCATCTCTGTAATGAGAAGGGGTGTGGTCTAATGACATCAACACCCTATATCAGGTGTGCATAATTATTAGGCAACTTCCTTTCCTTTGGCAAAATGGGTCAAAGAAGGACTTGACAGGCTCAGAAAAGTCAAAAATAGTGAGATATCTTGCAGAGGGATGCAGCACTCTTAAAATTGCAAAGCTTCTGAAGCGTGATCATCGAACAATCAAGCGTTTCATTCAAAATAGTCAACAGGGTCGCAAGAAGCGCGTGGAAAAACCAAGGTGCAAAATAACTGCCCATTAACTGAGAAAAGTCAAGCGTGCAGCTGCCACGATGCCACTTGCCACCAGTTTGGCCATATTTCAGAGCTGCAACATCACTGGAGTGCCCAAAAGCACAAGGTGTGCAATACTCAGAGACATGGCCAAGGTAAGAAAGGCTGAAAGACGACCACCACTGAACAAGACACACAAGCTGAAACGTCAAGACTGGGCCAAGAAATATCTCAAGACTGATTTTTCTAAGGTTTTATGGACTGATGAAATGAGAGTGAGTCTTGATGGGCCAGATGGATGGGCCCGTGGCTGGATTGGTAAAGGGCAGAGAGCTCCAGTCCGACTCAGACGCCAGCAAGGTGGAGGTGGAGTACTGGTTTGGGCTGGTATCATCAAAGATGAGCTTGTGGGGCCTTTTCGGGTTGAGGATGGAGTCAAGCTCAACTCCCAGTCCTACTGCCAGTTCCTGGAAGACACCTTCTTCAAGCAGTGGTACAGGAAGAAGTCTGCATCCTTCAAGAAAAACATGATTTTCATGCAGGACAATGCTCCATCACACGCGTCCAAGTACTCCACAGCGTGGCTGGCAAGAAACGGTATAAAAGAAGAAAATCTAATGACATGGCCTCCTTATTCACCTGATCTGAACCCCATTGAGAACCTGTGGTCCATCATCAAATGTGAGATTTACAAGGAGGGAAAACAGTACACCTCTCTGAACAGTGTCTGGGAGGCTGTGGTTGCTGCTGCACGCAATGTTGATGGTGAACAGATCAAAACACTGACAGAATCCATTGATGGCAGGCTTTTGAGTGTCCTTGCAAAGAAAGGTGGCTATATTGGTCACTGATTTGTTTTTGTTTTGTTTTTGAATGTCAGAAATGTATATTTGTGAATGTTGAGATGTTATATTGGTTTCACTGGTAATAATAAATAATTGAAATGGGTATATATTTGTTTTTGTTAAGTTGCCTAATAATTATGCACAGTAATAGTCACCTGCACACACAGATATCCCCCTAACATAGCTATAACTAAAAACAAACTAAAAACTACTTCCAAAAATATTCAGCTTTGATATTAATGAGTTTTTTGGGTTCATTGAGAACATGGTTGTTGTTCAATAATAAAATTAATCCTCAAAAATACAACTTGCCTAATAATTCTGCACTCCCTGTATCATCTGTAAAAGTACTGTTTGTGTGTGAAAAATGCGAAAAAAGTCACTTTCACTGACAATATCATTGCTGTGATAGTTACATAGTTACACTGTTTTACTGTTTTGAATCACTAATATTTGTGTTCAGCGAAGTCTCCCGAGTAAAATGGTACCCCCATGTACAGGTTTTAGGGTGTCATAGAAAGTTACAGGGTAAAATACAGTGCTAGCAAATTAAATTCTCTGGACTTTCGGCCTGGGTTGTCAGGCAGGTCCCTCAAATTGCAATTAATAAACTTACTTAAATATGCATATTTATATATTTGAAGTCTACGTGTATATTTATATAATTATTTATGTAATTTTGTATATGGACATATGTATATTTCGTATTATTTTTATTTATTTATATATACATAGATATATTTACAATTTCATTCTAAGTGTATTTTGATATAAATATATATATTTTAATATCAAAATACAGTTAGAATAAAATTTCATATAGATATATTTTTTTACATTTTTATTATTTTACATTTTTTTTAATTTAATTTAATCTACTTATTATTTGTATTTTATAATATATATATACAATATAGTTATTATATATATATTATATATATGTGTAATTTAATTATAAGTGTATTTTTATATTAATATATGTACATATTAATAGAAAAATACACTTAGTATGACATTATATATGATATATAGACATATATTATATAGATATAATATGTCTATATATCATATATATATATATATACACATATATAATTTTTTTTTTTATTAACATTAACTTTAATTTTTTTTTTTAATGATTTTACACTAACAGGGAGACTGCCTGTCAGCACAGACAGTCCCCCTGCAGGCAGACACATGGACACCAATTGTGACCATGTGACTGCTCTGTTGAGCGATCACATGGCCACAGGGGTCCTAATCCGCCATGGGGAGACTGTCTGGGCTGCAGGCAGTCTCCCCACACCGGGAGCACCGCCGGCGATCGGGTAAGTACATAAGACCGTTAGGACGGTTCAGGACCGTCACCGGTCGGCAATGGAAAAATACAGATGACTGTCCTGAACCATCCTCGGTCGTTAAGGGGTTAAGGGCTTAATTATGCATTGTCATCATTGTGGGTATATCTAAAAACAGCTTGCAAAAACTAAAGTTCTCTTATCTGCTGGATCTGCAAGTCCTCTTCTGCTAACCTCGCCCAGACTTTACGTGGCTGTCCAATCACAGACTTCCCAATGCAGTTCAATGAGAAGTCTTTGCAAGGTAGTTTCTATAGGCAATTGCTGCCTTTTGAGTTTAGCTCCACTGAGCTAACCAAACCAGGATGTAACAAGACCAGTTGCCAGTTTTCACACTCTTCACATAATATGCACGTTAGCAAACTAAATGTTTAGGTTCCCTGCTCAATTGTCTGTCATTTTGGAGTTAAATCACTTTATTGTTGCTGTGATGACGTACTTCCCTGTTCCCAAAGCTAATTCACTAAAAACACAAGATGAGGCATAGTTTAGCAGTATATGACATGTCATGCTACCTTCCTATTTACTCTTACTGTACTGGTGCATGTTTACTCTTACTGAACATACAATCTTATACAAGTCTCAAAGAAAAGCTGATCGACAAATCTCTATGCATTAACATCTTCTTGTTTCACGTACTAAACCTACACATAAGCTACTCAAAATAGAACTGACCTCTTTTATAAAATTGTGCAAGTACAGTATTACCATGTACCCCACTGTTATAACTGTTATTGAAGAGCATGTGGATTGCCGTTGAGGTACCACATGCGCGTCGTGATATCTATATGCACTGCAAAAATAAAGAATTTTTTTTTAAATCACTTTAGTTTCTAGTATGAAACACAGCACCATTTGTGCCTTGAATACAATAAAACAATCTAATACTAAAGAGGACATAAGCCACTGTATCCTGAAAATGCTAGCAATTTCTGTGAAGGATTAGCATGGTGCTATCAATACATTTAGAGCAACATTGCCCCTCCCCCTACAAAATTAGTATTTCTTAAAAATAAAGCCTTTGTTTCACTGAAATTCCAATAGAGTCAAAAGATATACTAATACAAAGTAAACTACTTGTCTAAATAGTTTTCCTACACCTGACACTTACAGACACTGGGCGGAGCTACCACCATCTAGAAGTGTCAATCACCCATCAGCTATCAGTAAATTGGCTCTGTCTATGGACGACCCTGTGGTCTCGCGGGAACTTTCATGATTTCAATGCTGTACTCTTGCACATTTGGCTCCTGTCACTTCAGAACAGGACCAACCAGAAGAAGATGGTGGCTCCCATGAGAGACAGGTCCAGGTAAGTTAAACTCATATTATCTGCCCCTCGGATACCGGACCCTACCAGCGGCGATGTCACCGTTGGGTGTCTTTGCAAATTATGCAAAGTCCCCAGATGGTAACAGGGTCACTTTAACCATTAAATATCTTGGTGTACAGTTACTTCCCAACTTAACCCCTTAAGGACCAAACATCTGGAATAAAAGGGAATCATGACATGTCACACATGCCATGTGTCCTTAAGGGGTAAAGGGCTTATTTCATCATCTTCTTAAAAAAGTTAAAAGACTAGTTCAGCCCTGCTGGAAGGAAACAGAACATCCAACCTAGAGACACGATAAAGTACTAAATATAGTGAAGGTGAAGCATTAGGAAATGAGCTATCTCTCCATCTCAACTTGTTTAACCCCTTAAGGACACATGACATGTGTGACATGTCATGATTCCCTTTTATTCCAGAAGTTTGGTCCTTAAGGGGGTTAACCCCTTCAGGACGGGTGACGGACGAGGTCCGTCACACAGGGGAGACCCTTAACGACGGGTGACGGACCTCGTCCGTCACGCGGTAAAATTAACCCCGGATCGCCGCTATCGCGGCGATCGCGGGGTTAATGGTGCTCCCGGTATGCCTCTGCATTGGAGGCATACCGGGAGCACCCGGTCAAGCTGCCCAGCACATGTGCTCGCTCTGACCACAAGTCGGAGCGAGCACATGTGCTCTGTATACTTACCTACCGGCTCCCTGCACTTCCGGGTTCTGTGTGAAGTGCAGGGAGCCGGATCAGTGCTGATCCTGCCCCCTGCTGTTAAAAAAAATAAAGTTTATTTAAAGTCCCCCCCCCTTACCCATTTTAATAAAAAATTAACCCCTTCCCTGCCAATTGATCACTGACTACAGTGATCAATTGGCAGGGATTACATTTTACTATGATCTGATTTTTTTTTTTAACCCCTGAGGGTTAATTTTTTTTTTTTAACCCTCAGGGGTTAAATTAATTAAATTAATTAATTAAATTATTTTTAATTATATATTTAGATAGCTGGGGTGGGTGGAAGTTAGTGGGGAATTGGGGGATTTGGCGTTAGGCTAACTAGGGGTTAACGTTAAAAAAAGTTTTAAAAGAAACTTTAAAAAGTTAAAAATTAAGCTTAAAAAAATGTTTTAATAACATTTAAGTAAAAAAAACAAAAAAAACACACTTTACCTAGTCCAAATAAAAATTAACCCCTTCCCTGCCAGTCGATCACTGCCTACAGCGATCAAATAGAGATCACAGTATTATACTGTGATCTAATTTTTTTTAACCCCTGAGGATTAACTTTTATTTATTTTTTTAACCCTCAGGGGTTCAATTTATTTATTTAATTAATTTAAATATTTTATAACTATATATTTTGCTAGCTGGGGTGGGTGGGAGTTATGGGAAAATGGGGAATTTACTGTTACTGCTGCGTACTGCTAGTTAGGGGTTAACGGTAAAAAAAAAAGCTTAGAAAAATGTTAAATCTGTAAAAAAGTTTTAAGAAAGTTTAGGAAAGTTTAAAAAAAATTTATAAGCAAAACAAAAGTTTAAAAACTAGTTTTTAAAAGTAAAAAAGTTATAAAAAGTAAAAAAATACATTTTAAAAACGCTCATTACCACTACACCTGGAGCAAACTAGAGAAAAAATTATCCCACGCCAAGGTTCAAAATATGCCTTTTGAATTACCCCAGGGTGTATTCTTTAATAAATAGTATGTGTTTGTGGGGAAGTTTCAATAACCAACCATCTAAACTACTCCAAATTGGAACATGGACACAGCGTAAAACTTCAAAGTTAGAAAAAAACTGAATGGCTGCGTCTCAAATGCGCCCCTTCAACATCCACATATACCTGGCAAAGGTACATACGGGGGTATTGCTGTACTCAGCCGACATAGCTGAGCAACATATGAAGTATTATACAGTCATAGCACACATAAGGTTTGCAAAATATGCTGCGCAAACTCACTTTGTATGTCAAAAAGGCAGAAAAAATGCTTATTACCACTACACTTGGTACAAGCTAGCGGAAAAATGATCCCACGCTAAGGTTCAAAATATGCCTTTTGAAATACCCTGGGATGTCTTCTTTAAGAAATGGTATGGCTTTATGGGGAATTTGGATTATATAGCCTGGTAAAATACTCTAAAATGGGACATAGGCACAGCATAAAAATTCAAAGTTTGAAAAAAACTGGAATGGCTGTGTCCCAAATGTGCCCCTCCGATGTCCACACATACCTGGCAAAGGTACATACGGGGGTATTGCTGTACTCAGCCGACATAGCTGAGCAACATATGAAGTATTATACAGTCGTAGCACACATAAGGTTTGCAAAATATGCTGCGCAAACTCACTTTGTATGTCAAAAAGGCAGAAAAAATGCTTATTACCACTACACTTGGTACAAGCTAGCGGAAAAATGATCCCACGCTAAGGTTCAAAATATGCCTTTTGAAATACCCTGGGATGTCTTCTTTAAGAAATGGTATGGCTTTATGGGGAATTTGGATTATATAGCCTGGTAAAATACTCTAAAATGGGACATAGGCACAGCATAAAAATTCAAAGTTTGAAAAAAACTGGAATGGCTGTGTCCCAAATGTGCCCCTCCGATGTCCACACATACCTGGCAAAGGTACATACGGGGGTATTGCTGTACTCAGCCGACATAGCTGAGCAACATATGAAGTATTATACAGTCGTAGCACACATAAGGTTTGCAAAATATACTGTGCAAACTCACTTTGTATGTCAAAAAGGCAGAAAAAACGCTTATTACCACTACATCTGGTACAAGCTAGCGGAAAAATGATCCCACGCTAAGGTTCAAACTATACCTTTTGAAACACCCTGGGGTGTCTACTTTAAGAAATGGTAGGCCTTTGTGGGGTAGTTTGAATTTAAAACCTGCGAAGATGCTTGGAAATTGCACATAGGCCCAGCGTCAAAATTCAAAGTTTGGTAAAAACGGATATGGCTTGGTCTCCTATATGGCACTGTAGCTTCACGAAATAGTGCCAAAGACATTCATATGGGGTGTCATTTTACTCAGAAGACTTAGCTGAGCATAATTTGGGGGGTTTGAACTTAGTGGCACATATGAAATATACAAAACGCCCAGCAAAAATGCAATCCGTATGTAAAAAATGCACAAAATTATTTTTTACCACATACTTTGGCATATATTGGTGAAAAAATGGGGGCATGTTAAGGCACAATATGCACCTTATAAGATACCCTGGAGTGTCTACTTTTACAAATGGTAGGCCTTTGTGGGGGTTTTTGAACAGTCAAACTGTTATAATACCCCAAATGGAAGCTAAGGCTCATTAAATCCATCTCTCAAAATTCTACTGTGAATACTGTAAAGGACAGGTCTCCTATATGGCACTGTAGCTTCACGAAATAGTGCCAAAGACATTCATATGGGGTGTCATTTTACTCAGAAGACTTAGCTGAGCATAATTTGGGGGGTTTGAACTTAGTGGCACATATGAAATATACAAAACGCCCAGCAAAAATGCAATCCGTATGTAAAAAATGCACAAAATTATTTTTTACCACATACTTTGGCATATATTGGTGAAAAAATGGGGGCATGTTAAGGCACAATATGCACCTTATAAGATACCCTGGAGTGTCTACTTTTACAAATGGTAGGCCTTTGTGGGGGTTTTTTGAACAGCCAAACTGTTATAATACCCCAAAATGGAAGCTAAGGCTCATTAAATCCATCTCTCAAAATTCTACTGTGAATACTGAAAAGGACAGGTATCCTGTATGGCACTGTAACTTCACGAAATAGTGCAAAAGACATACAATGGGGGTGTCATTTTACTCAGCAGATGTAACTGAACACAAAATAAAACTTTGTACAGGAATAGCACACACCAACTTTACAAAATATACACAAGAATTTCTCTGTTATAAGTTTGTGTGCCAAAAACCAAAAAGAACACAATTTTACTCCAATATTTAGCAGAGGTTGGCGGTGAAATGGCTACGTAGAAAGTGTCAAAATAACCTTAGGTAAATAGCCTGTGATGTCTACTTTATATAAATATATACTTTTGTGTGGCAATTTTGTTTTCTTTTATGGCTATTAAGCTTACAAGACAAACATACCAAATTCTAAAATCGCTCCACATTAAAAGTTTATTTTACTCCTTGTGCTTTGTGACCTGTAACTACCAAAAAAAACTTAACCCCTTAAGACCGAGGGGCATTATTACGCCCCTCTAATAGGGCGTTTCTAAACGCCGGCTGCATAGTACGCTCGGTCTTTCTGTACCTCGTCGCCGGCGTCCCACGCCGGGCGAGGGGACTCCCAGGGAGCCCCCGCACGCAATCTCCAGGAAGCCCCCCGGCCGTGTGAGAGTGGGGTCCTAGCGAGGACCCCACAATCACATGGCCGGGGATAGCTGGCTTCTGTATTGCCAGCAGGGGGGCTGCCTGTAATGACAGGTGGTCCCCCTGTTGGCTGAAAATAAAAATGAAATAAATAAATAGTGTGAAAAAATAAATAATATATACTTAGATCATATATATATATTATATATATATGATCAAAGTATATATATACACATATACATACACACATGTACACCGTCTAGGTGTATTTTACTATTAATATATATATAATTATATATATATATTAATATCAAATTACACGTACACTGATACTGATTAAATATATATATAATTATTGTTATATATATATTTATATATATTATAAAAAAAATTAAAATGTAAATACGTTAAAAAATAAAATTACAAAAATAATTAAAAATAAATAATTAAAAAATATATAGATGTGTGTTATTTCGTTCTAACTGTATTGTGAAATTAATATATATATATATATATATCAAAATACACATAGAACGAAATAATATATATATTTATACACATAAATATATACGTATATATCACTATATATATACCTATATATAAATAAAAATATTTTAAAAAATTATATAGATATATACATATATATACACATACGTATATATATACATATATTGATTCTACATATATATTTATGTAATATTTTTACATAATTAGGTATCTTAATTAATTACAATTAGCAGGACCTGCATGACAACCCATGCCGAAAGTAAAGGGAATTTAATTTGCTAGCACTATATTTAACCCTATAACTTTCCGAGACACCATAAAACCTGTACATGGGGGGTACTGTTCTACTCGGGAGACTTCGCTGAACACAAATATTAGTGTTTCAAAACAGTAAAATGTATTACAACGATGATATCGCCAGTAAAAGTGACGTTTTTTGCATTTTTCACGCACAAACAGCATTAAACGGACAATATTATTGCTATGATACTTTTTACTGTTTTGAAACACAAATATTTGTGTTCAGCGAAGTCTCCCGAGTACAACAGTACCCCTCATGTACAGGTTTTATGGTGTTTTCAAAAGTTACAGCGTCAAATATAAGGCTTGCGTTTCATTTTTTCACATTAAAATTCGCCAGATTGGTTACGTTGCCTTTGAGACCCTATGGTAGCCCAAGAATGAAAATTACCCCTATGATGGCATACCATTTGCAATAGTAGACAACCCAAGGTATTGCAAACAGGGTATGTCCAGTCTTTTTTAGTAGCCACTTAGTCACAAACACTGGCCAAAATTGGCGTTTTTTGCATTTTTCACACACAAACAAATACTAACGCTAACTTTGGCCAGTGTTTGTGACCAAATGGCTACTAAAAAAGACTGGACATACCCCATTTGCAATACCTTGGGTTGTCTACTATTGCAAATGGTATGCCATTATGGGTGTAAATTTCATTCCCGGGCTACTATACAGTCTCAAAGGCAACGTAACCAATCTGGCGAATTTCAATTTCAAATGTAACGTGCTATATTTGACCCTGTAACTTCCCAAAACGCCATAAAACCTGTACATAGGGGGTACTGTTTTACACGTGAGACTTTGCTGAATACAAATATGTGTATTTTATTGCAGTAAAAGCAAACAGTATTATGACACTGACCGTTTAAATGTCATGTAGAACTAAAAAAATCCAATAAAATCGTATTTTCTCCCATTTTTTTCATATTAAATTATGTTTCATAGCTAAATATTTGATATTAAATGAAAGCCCTGTTTCCCCTGAATAAAATGATATATAATAAGGGTGGGTGCATTTACTATGAAAGAGGTGTATTACGGTTGGACAGACATGTAGCGCAAATGCCAGGTTTTGTTTACATTTTGTTTTGTTCACAACGTGTACATTTGGCTCCGTCCTTAAGGGGTTAAAATCCCAGACACATTATATATTCTGTAAATCAGAACAAATAAATAAATTTATTTTTAATTACTTTCCTTAACCTGCACTAATTATGCACACATTATTATTGCAAAAACTGTAAAAAAAAAACAATATTTTTCATTTTTTTTGCATTTTTCTGTATTTTTTTTATAATAAGTAAGCATTTATATATCTATATGTTATATCAAATTAAAGCCCTTTCTGTCCTTTAAAAAACAGTATATAATGTGTGTCGGTGCAATAAATGAGAGAGATGCAAATTGCAGTTGAACGCAAACAGCAAGAAAATGCAAAAATTGCTTGTGTCATTAAGCGTAAGTCAAGCTTCTGAAGCTGTGTCCTTAAGGGGTTAATGGATGTATAAAACACATCAACAATTTACAACAAAGCTTCTGGAGTGTATGTTTTTAAAAGCAGTTGTTCTTTCACCTTCAGAACCCCACCCCCAACCTCTCCCTGGGCATGTTAAGAAGCTACAGGGACACAGTTCAGGACACAATATTTTTTGTTTATAAGAATCCATTAAATACTATACAGTATATTATATATTTTATAAAACAGGCACTTATAAGTTAATTGCACTTTAAAAAGCCACTGTTATAACATTGTGTAAACAAATATGTGTAGATGGTTCTATAATTTGTCAAAATTAAGTGTATGGAAAGGTGTGTGGAGTAGTAGCAGTGAGCATATTGGAAGGGGGTGCATTTTATGTAACATTCTTTACTTCCTGCTGTTTCTCAAAAAAGTACTCAAAGGCGGTAAGAGGGTGGAAAATTGCATTCACTGCCTGCAAATACCAAATAATCAATTTACAATTTTGAAAATGTATATAAAGTGAGGTATATATTCATTCCTTTATTTTTATTACATTTGGTCTACTATTTACAAAATTTTTAGCCCATGACACCTAGTATATATAACAAAATAAACAGATATAAATGAAGAATATCAACAAACAAATTTTATATTTGATGATTTAACTCAGTAGCCGGCTCAAAATATGTTATCAGTACCCACTGGAACTGGAAGCCATGTTTGCCCATTTTAATTTTACAGGATTGTTTTTTTTTTTACAGCTACAGTATTATTTATTGTGCATGTCTATTTGTATACCATATGCAACTAATGCAAACTGTGCACACCAGAAATTATGATGTCTTATTCCCATGCATCCTTCTAATTCTCACTCATAATGTTTTCAGTAATATTCACAATCGTTGGCCATCATGCACTATACACAGTGTTTCAGCTTGAAATTATGCCAATATTAAAGATTTACAGCTCCACCGTAGGCTCTTGTAAATCAGCAAGCCAGAAACGTTGATTTTGAGCTGGCTTTGCCAATTTTGTCAACGTTTTGCATGTCGTGTCCACGTTGCAAGCAAAATTTGGATTGAGCTCTATCTCCTTCCAGCAGAAAGAGCCAATGCATGGACAGTGCATGCACAGATTGCGATTCTGCCGTTATCTTAGCATAGTCCGATTTACTAAACAACCAACCAAGCTATGTGTAAACTGACAGACAGCAGTAAAGCTATCAGTTTACAGAGTGGTTCCATTTATCCTGTGATAAGTAGAACTGCTCTTTAGGGATAAACTACTTATACCATAACTCACTGGTAGGATTCTTTTTTGCACCAGTAGCAGACTAATTGAGGGGTAATTTTAATCTCTAATTTCCCTTTAATTCACATATATGGTCCCAGAATAGCATTAGGTAGTTTAAATTAGCGGTTTTAGGAATTTTACCAATTGCAAATTCAGTTTGGTCTGGGAACCATGTGCTATACCTAGGTGATAGTGGGGACCAGGACATACTTGAAAACAAGAGAAATATCAATGCATCCTTCCTGGTAAAATATTTTATAAATTAATAATAAATAAGAGCATGCATGTTATCTTACATGCATATGCTGAGAACATCTCTACATTTCATGTTTACAATAGACCTTTTTTTGCTGCAGGAAAATTATAAATTACATTCTATAGCTACCAATGACATATTGATAAGCAAGATATAATCAGGGACTATGCTATCTGGTAGACTCATCACTAGTTGATGGGTGGATATGGTCAACACCTGGTATAGTATTCAATTTGATTAACGGTATATAGTAAGCTTCTTTGAATGTCAGAATCTGTTCCTTTCTCTATTTCAACTCTTTACAAGTTACAATATTTAGTCTTAACATTAGCTTGGAAGTGAACCTTATCTACAGTGCTTGCACATATATCACCTCATTTAGGAATGATCATGTATCAAATGTTTTGTAAAAGATGAATTCAAATCGCAGTACTTGTTGTATGTTAGATCAATCCACACTGGCATTTCAGCTATGTATAATACCAATATAAATTTCTAATTTCCCCAAAGCATCACTGGTTTCAAGCAAAACTTGATGAAGAATAATTTTAAACAAACATACACAGAATTTAAAAGGAATGTTTTTTTATGACATTTAATGACAAGTGAACTCATAACATTGGGGCACGTGATGTCAACTAATAACGTACACATTGATACACAAAGTTGTCATGTACAACACCCATAATACATACAACTAAACAAGACTTGTGCAAGCCTTTTTATTTATGATGTACCCACGATGTGCAAAGCGTGTTGCATGCTTGGATATATATATATATATATATATATATGTGCAGCTGTCATATTGTATATATGTGGGTTATAGCAAAACAGTGTGCTTCTATTAGTAGTCTATATATTCAGATTTTGAGACATAAAAAAAATAGACTTCAAGCGGTCTTGTTGAAGATATACAAAGCTGCCCCTCGCATTTTCTAATCTAAAACCAGTCTCTCCTCATAGATTGCTCACCAATGTACAAAGAGTACACTTGACAATATTACAATTACCTCGGATCGAATTACACGCATTAAAAATACAAATTCAGGAAACATCCCCTCATAAAAACACATAAAGTATAGATTTACTAAACAAAAATCTACAAAGCCATTTTTCACAAAGTTTATTTTTAATAACATGAGCATTTACACCCTAATGACACCGTTCGCTCAAATCTGACACAGCTGTAATTTATTAAAAAGCCAAATAATAAGCAGACTTCAGGCACCACAGCAGGCGATGAAAATAGAACTCTCTAATCCAAATAAAATCTAAAATCTCCTCCCAACTGAATTCCCAGTCTAAATGTAGACTTAGTCTGACGACTCCAAAGGAAAAATTAAAGACTAAACCACATCACTCACTTAAACCATGAATAGCAGCATGCAGATACAAACAAAGTATCTCTCGCTCCGTGCTATTTTGTAAGATTTTAATGGATATTGTAAGGAATAATAAAGTGATTACCTTGTCTAGTTACAGAATTTTGGTGGCACTGGGTTCCATTAATCAGTTGAGCCCTACAGAAAGTTGTTTTCCCTCTGGATCACAGGATTGTGAAGAGCTTTCAAGTATGCCTTGATTGCTGTTGTTATTATGTTCAAGAGTCTGAAAATCGTGTCCTGCTCATTAGGAGTTAAACTTATATTATGCACACTATGCTGTGTAAGACCCTTTCCCTGCCTTGCTCTTCTGTAAATCTGGACAATGTCTAGGAGACATTGATACACCTCCTCATCGTTCCCTCCCACTCAGAACTCCATCCGCCAATCCACGCACAGGGATCGTGGGTGCATTTGCATATAGTGGGATGGCGGCCAATAAAAGGTGGCGGGGTTCTAAGGAGGCGCGGCTTCGCGAATGTGTAGCAACATCAGGTATAACAGAGCTCCTGACCGTGCTTCCACTTCATTATTCTCAGCGTACGGAGATTCTTAACGGTGTCCTGTTACTCCATGATATAAATACACACTGACACATACACACAGATACTTTACAGATAAACACACATACAATACTTCACAGATATACAAACACTGGCACATACACACACAGATACACACATTCTGAAACATACACAAGGATACTCCACAGATACACATACGGACAAATACAAACAGATACGCACAAACTGACATATACACACACAGATGCACACACTGCCATATACACCCAGATACTTCACAGATACACTGACACATACACACAGATACACACACTGACACATACACACAAATATGCACACACTGACATACACACACACAGATAAACACAGTGCCACATCCACCCAGATACTTCACAGCTGCACGCACTGACACATACACACAGATACTCACACTGACACATACACACACACACACTGACACACAGAAAAACACTGACTCACCATACACACAGATACATATTGACAGACACATGGATCTTTATAGGATGGAACATGTTTTCCTTGGTCTGTTCTTATAGGAAATGTGTTCTTATATAGTGTATTTTATACAAAACACTTATAATTAGGCATGTTCCTTAACCCCCTAAAGGACCAAGGCTATATTGAGATGCAACACGTTTGTGAACTTTTGCCACGTGCCCATTCTACCACATTTTCACCCTTTCTAAGTGCACCCATACTGTACTACTACAGTATCTCTACACTGAGATACAGAGAACAAATATCACTGCGAAATACAGCATTTTTGCCACCATTACAGCCTTTTCACATTGCTATAACTGTTAACCCCTTAAGGACACAACTTCTGGAATAAAAGGGAATCATGACAGAATATTTCCGTCATGTGTCCTTAAGGGGTTAAAACAGCAAGGACTGTGCTCTTGAATTGATTTTAACGTTACCTTTATTTTTTTATTTAATTATTCCCTCTATTTTTAACGGTCTAATAAAAGTTATATTGTATACTCCTCTCAGGAAGATATGACACACTTATAGGTAGAAATGTTTTGTTTTTCTGTTTTTTGTTTGTTTGAAATTCACTGTTTAGGGGTTATCCCCAATTTTTGCATGCTACCTTAAGGTGTCTTCTCTAAAGGTTCGACATATTATCTTTTTCTTTCTTGTCTGAAACTGAAAAAAATAATAAAAATAATAAAAATAATTTACACTTAATTCCTAGACAACAAGTCATACTAGAGAAAACTAACTCAAAATAGATCCCCTATTTAGTCGTGATTGTTAAAATGCTCGAAACGTCTAGGATTTCAATTCCTTTTTCGAAATTATAAAACAAATATCACAATGAATGAATTACTGGAACACTGTAGCATTAGGAATTCAAACCGGGGGCAGGCCCTGAGCATCATGGCGGCTGGTTGTGCTTTGGGTGAGCTCCGAGCATGGCTTGAATCTTGAGCTATATAATCAACTCCCAGCATACCGAATAATCTCACTCAGAGAATCTCACCTCTCCAGACCAGTGGTTGTTATTCCGGTCCCAACAGGGCTGTTCTACCTACCTGTGTCACATCCTGAGGCCAATTGTAGACTATATTCGCACAGTTGAGCTCAACAAGGCCCATAGAGGCCTATCTATACCCAGTGGAACAGTTTTTGCGGAAATTGTTGGAAATATTTTCACACTTGTGGGACAACCTAGAAATCAATAACACAACATCCTTATTATTATTAATAAAGCGCCAACAAATTCCGCAGCGCTGTATAAATGGTGGATTAACAGACACGTATTTTTGTAACCAAAAAACATGTATTTGTATCTCAAAAGAGAAACTGAGGAGGCGTCAGCCGGGAGGTGAATGAGGCTCGTTCGGGCACAACCTTACCCCAATTGCCTGTTTCACTCATTGTTTGCTTACCTAGGCCGACCACGCGGTCAAAAGCTATTCCGCCATTGACCACGCGAACGAAAGACATTACGCCATCAGCAGCAATAAACCACCAAGGTCTTCTGTTATTCCCACTGAAAGCCCCAAGTCTATGGCTTCAGGATGCTGTCCTCCATACCGGCCTGGAAGGTGGCCTTTCCTTGCCTTTTCTGTGACGCTACCTTTTGTGACCTCCGTGCTTTATCCATGTGCTTTCCTGTCTTTGGCATCAGCTGAATGCAGTTTTGTCCATCCTCCATCCGGAAAGCCCTATTGCCTTTGCTCAGCATCTATTTGCTAGTGATGGATGCCAACCTGCCCCTCTTAGGCCTTTTGTACCCTTAACAGAAACTTGTTAATGATGAGTTTTGTTTTTCTTTTGCTTTTATGTTTTGTTTCCTACACTCTTTTATTGCTCCACTGCAATTGCCTAATTTAGCCACCCAGCGATATTTCACTCCTTCAGTCCTCTACATTTCTATTTTATATGATGTCTTATACTCTCTTTGTTTTAACTAATAAAAATGTTGCAGCTGACATAATTACGTTCTTTTAACAAAAAGTGCAATATCCTTGACATCTAAAGCTAGATGTGCATCAATACCATGATACATACACTCTTGTAGAATGTCTGTGCAAGCTGATTTTGTTTACAATGCACCGCAAATTAAGCATGTCAAAAACATTAAAAAGGAAACCTGTATTCCTAATGCTATAGTCTCATTCTAACAGGCTGTAAATTTTAAAGTCTTACTTATCTGTATCCAATGCCAATAGTCCTATGGCATGATCATAGAGAAAAGGCCTTCTCCAGTATGGTCCAATATAATACTCCTCATAGAGCCAAACTTTCCAATAGCAAAGCACTGAATCAATGCTTTCCCACTGGGTTTCCGTGTCACATGACCACGTTTTATTGTCAGCATACTGACAGTCACTAGAGAAAGACCTTACTCTGCAATGTAAAGATTGTAGGATTTAAAAAACTTGGGTTAAGAGGGAATGGCCACTGCACCTAGACTATTTCATTGAGATGACGTGGTCTGGGTGACTATAGTTTTTATTTAAAGCTAAACCTTTCGAAAATTTGGCATGCTGAGATTACAAATATTCTAGTAGTGACTGAATGCAAAACATTACACAAACGTATATATCTATAGAAAGTACATCCCAGGCCGCAGATGTGGCCAAAATAGTAAAAAAACTAAAAGTTAGCATTTAGTAATTGTAAAAAAAAACTGAGTGAAGAAGACAGAATGATCTATAAGATTAGGCAGAAATAAGCTAAGCAAGTTATAAGAGCTTTCAAATCACACACAGAAGAGAAAATAGCACAGTCAGTAAAAAAAAGGGACAAAACATTTTTTAGATACATAAATGAGAAAAGGAAAGTAAAACAAGGATTAGTTAGATTAAAAACAAAAGAAGGAAGGTATGTAGAAGAGGATAAAGGTCTAGCTGACTGCCTCAATTAATATTTTTGTTCAGTATTTACACATGAAAATAAAGGAAAGGGACCTCAGTTAGGAAAAAGGACAAATGAGCCATTTATTACATGTGAGTTTACAGAGGAAGAGGTTTTATTTCAACTGTCAAAAGTAAAGACAAATAAGTCAATGGGACCGGATTGGAATACACCCAAAGTTATTAAAAGAGCTTAGTGGTGTACTATCAAAACCATTAACAGATTTATTTAACCAATCATTGTTAACAGCAGTAGTCCCAGAAGATTGGAATTTAGCGAATGTTGTGCCCATCCACAAGAAAGGTAGTAGGGAGGAGTCGGGCAACTATAGGCCAGTAAGCCTTATTTCAGTAGTGGGGAAAGTAATGGAAACCATGTTAAAGGATAGGATTGTTGAACATCTAAAAAGACATGGATTTCAAGATCAGAGACAACATGGGTTTACTTCAGGGAGATCATGCCAAACTAATCTTATTGATTTTTTTGATTGGGTAACTAAAATAATAGATCAGGGTGGTGCAGTAGACATTGCTTACCTAGATTTCAGTAAGGCTTTTGACACTGTTGCACATAGAAGGCTTATCAATAAACTGCAATCTTTAAGTTTGGATTCCAATATTGTTGAATGGGTGAGGCAGAGTCTGAGTGACAGGCAACAGAGGGTTGTAGTCAATGGAGTCACTAGTGGGGTACCTCAGGGATCTGTACTTGGACCCATTCTCTTTAATACTTTTATTAGTGATATTGCAGAAGGACGTGATGGTAAGGTATGTCTTTTTGCTGATGATACTAAGATATGTAACAGGGTTGATGTTCCAGGAGGGATAAGCCAAATGGCAAATGATTTAGGTAAACTAGAAAAATGGTCAGAGTTGTGGCAACTGACATTTAATGTGGACAAGAAATTGATGCCACTAGTCTCAGTGCATACAAAGCTCCGAGATCAGCTGCATCCCCTGGATATATATGTAGTAATATAGTTATTACTATATATTGGCATAAAAAAATGTATAATCTTATATTATTGAGACCTAAACATAATAAATAAACCAAAGTATATACAAGTGATACATATGCTAATATCCAAGCCAAAAATAGACACCATGTAGGGAAACAATCCAAACCCATATAAAGGTGTGATACCCAATCCTAAATATCAGCGTTATTAACAGGTGTATATGCTACATAGGAGGGCATCCATCCCAAACTAATTCCCTAACACTGGGCTAAGTGCAGATTAACTCTAAATACTGCTCTGCCTTATCTTATAAAAATCTGTACTGTGCTAGTAATCAGAAACACTTCTTGATCTAAGCACAGTCCCAGACCTTCAGTCATAAATCAGCATCTATAGAGTTAAATGGCAGACAGAGCTAGAAAGAGAGAGTATTGTCCATAATATGATAGGGAGAGAATGCAGTATATAGTGAGAAAGTCAGTGTCTAAAACACTGACAAGGTAAATTAAAAGCCTTTCTCCCTGGTAAACTAATTAGACAGGCATAGAAGCAGAGGATAGAAAAGTGAAAATCAAAAGAATCAATAAATCAAATGAAAGTCATAGTGCTCAATCTATATAATTGAGACCTAAACATAATTAATAAACCAAAGTATATTCAAGTGATACATATGCTAATATGCAAGCCAGAAATAGACACCATGTAGGGAAACAATCCAAATCCATATAAAGGTGTGATACCCAATCCTAAATATCAGCTTTAGTAACAGGTGTATATGCTACATAGGAGGGGATCCATCCCAAACCAATTCCCCAACACTGGGCTATTTGCAGATTAACTCTAAATACTGCTCTGCCTTATCTTATAAAAATCTGTATTGTGCTAGTAATAAGAAACACATCTTGTGCTTCGTCAGGGGCCCCTGACGAAGGTGCATTATATAAGGCACCGAAACGCGCGTCTGCGTTTTTTCTTATTTTTAGCCATGATTTTTAGGCACTTGTGGATTGAGCAGTATGACTTTCATTTGATTTATTGATTCTTTTGATTTTCACTTTTCTATCCTCTGCTTCTATGACTGTCTAGTTAGATTACCAGGGAGAAAGGCTTTTAATTTACCTTGTCAGTGTTTTAGACACTGACTTTCTCACTATATACTGCATTCTCTCCCTATCATATATTATGGTCAATACTCTCTCTTTCTAGCTCTGTCTGCCATTTAACTCTATAGATGCTTATTTATGACTGAGGGTCTGGGACTGTGCTTAGATCAATATAGCACTTTACTATGCACAAGATGTGTTTCTTATTACTAGCACAGTACAGATTTTTATAAGATAAGGCAGAACAGTATTTAGAGTTAATCTGCACTTAGCCCAGTGTTAGGGAATTCGTTTGGGATGGATCCCCTCCTATGTAGTGTTTTTCACAACTTTCCTTCTCAGAAATCTGGTTACAGCCATTGATAGCTACCCTTTTCTGCCCAGTCCAGGTAGTATAACCACTGTTCCTTCAACTTTAAATTTGCAAACTATGCTTTCAACTGTGTCTCTGGGAACATTCAGTGCATTTGCTATATATTTGTATCCTTGTTCCCCTAACTTTGTGGACCATTCTTATTTCATAATATGCCATATTTCTAACATGTAGTCATACTTCTAGCCATATTTCTAACATGCAGTCACACGTGACACTCAACAAACCCCTAGCCAGTTCTTTCTAGTGTGCCAGCTCAAGCATATCTGGTTCAACTAATGAAGCCTTTGATTAGTTGCATCAGATGTGCTTGAGACAACACCTGTTTTTTGCTATTGGGTGGGATTTTATTCAGTGGGTTGAATAATTTTGAGACTTGAGAAGTTTCATTTTCAGTTGAATTTGGGGAGATCACTTGAACATTTGTTATGTTGAGCTATTTCAATTGCTTTTGTTTGATTTGTTCTTTGCAAACAGCTGAAATTCTGTACATTTCAACAACAAACATGACTTTTTTGAATAATTTTGTTTACAACTGTTACTTAAATCATGTTGACACATTGTTTTTGTGAAATTACATGGTCATATTACAGACAGACTAATTTCAATGGCAAACCTTGCAATTTTGACAGATCGATTTATTGACCACATGTGATTTTCAGGTAACAAAATAACAATCCTTAAATTTACTTTATTTTACTTTAACACGCGCTATACAGACCATGTCCATGTATCAGGGCTCCAAACCTGCAGCTTAGCTTTTTTTGCTGCCTTCCTAGCGGCCAAGTTATAGAAATCTGAGGCATCCAAGGATAGACCACTTAAAAAATATAATTTGTCACATACTATGAGTTTGCCTGTCCTGTCTAGGGGAAGCCTGAACAGCGCTCTGTCCAATGTTGCAAAGGGATCTTCAGGTGGTAAATAAATACTGACCAATGTTATATCAACACCATGAATGGTTCAGGAGCAGTGGAGGATCCGAGAAAACCAAGGGTCTCCCTCTCCCCTGCCGGCTAATGCAGGTCTGGCATTGTCCAAGTGGCAGCCCTGCAATGTGCCTTCACGGACCAGAGGGGAGATCAGAGATCTCCCTCCCCGGTCCGCAGGCACCTTGGTGGCAGCCGGCAGGGAGGGAGGCAGAGAGGACCCAGGAGCTTAGCCTGCGGCTCCTCCAGGTCCTTCTCTCGCGAGTATGGAGCGTTGCGCGGTTACCACGGCAATGCTACAAATCTCGCGAGAGTGAACTCTAGCCCTGGAGCTACGGGCTAGAGTTCACCTGACCACTGGGACCACCAGGGAATCCCCATGGACCACCAGGGATCGAGAAATGTCCCCCTTACTCCCTCAGTAAAGGCAAGAAAGGAGGGGGGACATAATGAATATTTGTATTAATTAAATTTTAAAAAAACATATAAGAAGGGTTGGGGGCTTTTTTTATAATATGTGTTGTTTTTTTAAATTTAATTATTATGTATGTATGGGGGCAGTGTATGTGTGTGTGGGGGGGGCAATGTGTGTGATAAGAAGGGTAGGGGCTTTTTTTATAACCACACACACACATTGCTCCCCCCCACACACACGACGAATACACTGCCCCCCATACACACTTGCCCCCATACACATATACTGCCCCCCATACACACACACTACCACCATACACACATTGTCCTACACATACACTGCCCCCCCATACACACATTGCCCCACACTCACAGACTGCAAATACTAACCCACACATACACTTCCCCCTAACACACACACTGCACCCCTGACATATACTGCCGCCCCCTTACACACACACTGCAACCTTCACACACACACACACACACACACACACACACACACACACACACTGTCCCCCTCACACACACACTGCACCCCTTACACATTGCACCACTCACACATATCACTGCTCCTATGCCCTTCTACAGCCCCATTTCCCAGCAGGCCTCAGGTAGGTTGTCAAACTGTTCTTAACTGGTTTGACTACATACTCTGGGAGGGCGTCCCGGCACTATTGACATCATAACCACTACACTGAGCTGTAGTGGTTATTGTGTCTGGATTAAATTTAAATAATCTACAAGTGCCCCTCCCGAGATCAGGCTCTGGATCTGCCACTGTTCAGGAAACTATATAACAGTGTCCACGTGGATCATCAAAGAGATATTGAATTTGGATTTGTAGGGAGGAGCGAAAAAGTTGTATATATCCCATTTTTATGCAATTTAACTATTTCCCACTGGCAATATATTTTATTTTATTATTATAATAATTATCTAGTGTGGTGATCTTAGTGCTCCTATGGACAAGCCCCCACTGGCTACAAGCTCTGCTTTAAAGCGAGAGAAAAAAATTGCATTTGTAATAGCTGAGATTACAGAGACAGTTTGTGTGCATTACAACATCTTTAATAATATTAAGAGTTATGGTGCCAAAAGTGGTATGATGAATTCTGATATTTATTTTCCCAGAGTATATCTCTATTGCAGTGTATCATTTAGATTTGAAACATGATTTTAAAGTGGCTTTCATTTCTTGAATACTTAATAGACTAAAAAGAAAGGAAACATAATACAGACCCCCACTGCATAAATGTACTGGTTACAGATTATAGATTCATTTACGTGATCCACATTTTGCAATCATGTACATTTGTAAAATTTCTGAAAGACTCCTCTGTTCACAGCATAGTTTATAAAATAGCATCATTCAAATCCATATGAAATTCACTTTATTATAAATCCATAAAAATACAAAAATAATGGGAATCACACCTCAGCATAACATCAACCCCTCACCTCCTCACATGTATTGTGTACAATACCCAAACTTCATTTTTAGATTTAGTTAGGTTAGTTACTAAAGTGAGAATTCAACATGAATTTCAAATTTAAAATCAGAGTAACCAAACGGAAAGCATAGCTGAATTTTTCCAGTTTGGGCTATTTTGACCTTAAATGTGTAGTTCACTTTGGATTCACCTAGAATTCTCACATTAAAGGGGCACTCCAGGCAGCTAAAGTTAAGCTTAAATTAAAGCTATTAAGCTGAAATACCTCTAGTTATTTTATTTTATTTTATTTCAATTCTGTGTAGTTTCTTGCAGACCCCCCCACACACATACTGACCCCCCCACACAGAGACTGACCCCCCACACACAGACTGATCCCCATACACACACACAGAGTGATCCCCCCACGCACAAACTGACCCCCACAGACACAGAGTAAACCCCCCCACATAGACTGATCCCACAAACACAGACTGAACCCCCACACACAAACTGACCCCCAAACACAGACTGATCCCCCCCCATACACAGACTGACCCCTTCCCCCCACACAGACAGACTGACCTCCCCACACACAGAGAGACTGATTAAAACTTAACAGGAGCTGCCTGGATGCTTCTGTGCAGAGCTGAGATTCCTCTCCTGGTCTCTCCCCTGTGCTGTTCTCTATGACCCAGGAGGAGTCCTCCCAGCCCAGTGCCCCCTCTGGCCGCAAGTGGAAAAAGTCCACCAGTAACAGTGCCCCTGCAGCTTGTGAAGGGAGACACAGTGCTCCTGACTTCAATTTCAATTGGGGGGGGTACTGCATGATGTAGGGGGGGCCATGCACCCCCCAGTGACGTCACTGACCTCAGGTGCTTGCCGGCTGATTTCACTCTTCTTGCAAGTCACTTGCAGTAAACGTCAAATAAACAACAATATGAGACGAATGCCAGTTCATTGCCCATACTTTGCACTGATTGGTAGGAAATGATGATTGCATCTTCAAATTGCAAGTGTTTTATAAGAGACTCCCATGGACAGCATAATTAACCAACTGATGAAGCTGTACATCCCGCGAAATGCATTGGGTTACTGAGGACTATATGTTGTATAGCTATTTAGTTGTTTTTATATTGTATTTTATTTGCTTGAATAAATTTGTTCCATTCACTATTAAGTAAAGTGGATTCTGCAAAAGGGTCCATGTATTTGAGTGGAAATGTATAGCTTCATCACTTTGTACTCTAGATACCTTACAATAGTGCACTATATTTGTGCTTCCTCTTTTTGGGGGGCTTGAGGGGTGGGTGAGGGGTATAATTATATACATCTCTCAATTGAGGAAGTTTTGTGTCATTTTTACAATTTACTACACCCTTTGTTTTCACAAGCTATAAACCCATTATTTCATCAAACATAGTATCCATAGCCAATGTTGTAATGTGCAAAATTCATAAAAGCTTTAGAAAAGAGAAATGTCTTTATACAAAGTAATCTCTTCCAAGTGTCACCGTTAAAATAATCGTGTTATTTGTGATTCACCATAGTTTACGTATTACATTTTCCATGTCTGTTTTATGTATGCTTTTGTAAAGTCTATCTTATCATATGTATGTTTAAACCGGATGTTTCTTCAGTTCCAGTTTTAGCTTATTCCTCATGTCCTTATGTGACTTGATCTTGATAGGACTCTAAATAAAAGAAAAAATATATCATTTCATTGTGATACAAAAATATACATAATGATTTGTTATATTATTAAAATAATTTGAAAATGTAAGAAATATTATCAGGTCCCACAAAGTTCTCTCCCTGTATTTGTGTTTTATAACTGACAGAAGCAGGAAACACTATAGAGACTAACTGTTTTCAAACACTGTATGACCCAAGGTGCATGTATATGGCTGAAACATCTTGTCATATCCTAAATGTAAGGATAAGGCTTTCTCATTTTTTTATACAATATATGTTGTTAAAAAAAAATAAAAATCTATTTTATTTAAAGATTGATGAAATGATTGCAATATTTAAAATAGTCTTGAGGTGACAGATTGCCTTTAACCCACCATAGGCATCCTCCCCCAAGCTCCAGTCACATACACACACTCTGCACATCCTCCCCCCAAGCTCCAGTCACATACACACACTCTGCACATCCTCCCCCCAAGCTCCAGTCACATACACACACTCTGCACATCCTCCCCCAAGCTCCAGTCACATACACACACTCTGCACATCCTCCCCCCAAGCTCCAGTCAGATTCATACACTCTGCACATCCTCCCCCAAGCTCAAGTCACATACACACACTCTGCACATCCTCCCCCCAAGCTACAGACACATACACACACTCTGCACATCCTCCCCCCAAGCTCCAGTCAGATACATACACTCTGCACATCCTCCCCCAAGCTCCAGTCACATACACACACTATGTACATCCTCCCCCAAGCTCCAGACACATACACACACTCTGCACATCCTCCCCCCAAGCTCCAGACACATACACACACTCTGTGCATCCTCACTCACTCCCAGTCACTTACAGCCATTCATCCTGTTTTTATAACACTAAGTCATCAACCAGTCACTTACACCCGACCTACAAAAAAAACAATTCACTTCCAATATACTTAGAGCATATTAGTATTGCATACACTCAGGGCCGGTGCAAGGATTTTTGCCGCCCTAGGCAAAAGTAAAGTTTGCCGCCCCCCCCCCATGTGACATCACAATGCTCCACCCATATGATCTGCCATGTTAACTAACGCCAGTGCTGCAGTGCCGCCGTGCTTACATTATAAGGCATGCAGGGACAGGCTATAGACACCAGAACAACTACATTAAGCTGCAGTGGTTCTGGGGACTATAGTGTTTCTTTAATGTGAGGTAAATTGGAGATTAGTGACACGAATAATATATTAGATTCCCTACTTACAACGAGATGAGGATGATGATGGGCTCTAGCTGCAGTCTGGCTCCACTGGTCTGGTGTAGAACAGGCTCTCTGGAGGCTGTTTGTAACTGTGGTCACAAAAATCAATGTTCTGGGAGAACGGTAAGCAGCTCCATTTTTTTGGGGGGCCCTTTACACAGCTCAAGGTCTGGGTCCCAGGGTCCACCTTCATGTTCCACCAATGAGTTTGTTCACAGGGGGTGGAGTGTGTAGGGGATGTCCTGATATGTGTGTAAGGAATGCATTGTGTGAATCTGTGTTTGTCTGTGTAAGGGCTGCAAGGTGTGTTTCAGTGTATGTAAAGGATGCAGTGTGTGCGTGTGTAAGGGGTGCATTGAGTGTGTGTAAGGGGTGCATTGAGTGTGTGTAAGGAATGCATTGTGTGTAAGGGTTGCATTGTTTGTGTGTGTGTGTCTGTGCGTGTAATGCATTGTGTGTTTTTCTGTGTG